CAAATTTAAAAGCTCAGTTTTATTCCAATGCTGGTCTCTTGCTCCTCGCTAATTTTCAGAGCTGTGATGAGCTTTAAAATGTTAGCTAAATAGGAGATACCAAGACATAATTCTTTACTCTTTAAAAGGAAATGTGAATTACTTGTTTGGGGATGTTTCTATGTAGATATGTTCTACGTCTTTCATGTTGAAACAAGAGTCATTTAAATATAGTGTAATTATCTCAAATTTAACTGGAATTAGTATGTCCAGAATTTATTTCTATTTTTTTATTTTTATTTTTTGAATTTATTCATTTCAACAAGTGTTTATTCCACACCACTCTGTGCGAGGTACTGACTTAGAAGGTTATGTTGTTCAGAGACACTTAAGGACTGAATGTGTAGCATTTTGGAGAGAGGCAGTGCCTTTCATCAGTTAAACTCATTCTTTGCATATTTCCATTCCAGAACTAATTTCTTAATCTGAAGTCATTTTCCAGGTCATGCTGCTCCCAGTGATGTTCATTTATTTTGGTTTTTTCTCCCATTTAGGAAGTAGACCAATTAGTTGGGCACTGAAATCTATATGTGCTCTCCTAGTTATGCAAAAGCAATGGGCATGTTCACATGCTAACCTAGGACCTTGTTTCCCATCTTCTGTGTAGTTTGGCCTCAGTCACCACTATCATATTGGCACTGGCTACCCTATGTTGGTAATTGTCTGGTGTGTACCCTAGCTGATAAATGAGTATGAGGTTGCCATCTGTAAATGCAGTTTACATTCATATTAATGTTTCCATCTAATACTTCCATTCTAGCACCTTGGTTGTGAAGCAGAAGTTGCCTGGTGTCTATGTGCAGCCATCTTACCGCTCTGCATTAAGTAAGATATAGATTCTTTCTTCTCATTTCCAATAGAGTCACTTTTTTTATACAAATTTCAGACATATTTTTCTTTGACAGTGTGGTTTGGAGTAATATTCATACGGCATGGACTTTATCAAGATGGAGTATTTAAGTTTACAGTTTATATCCCAGATAACTACCCAGATGGCGATTGTCCGGTAAGTAGTAAGAAGCTTAGTATCTGCCAATCCATGTTGTTGCTTGTTTTGTAGACTTACTGGGGGCTAATTATTCACTTCCTGACTTAGTACTTAATGTTTCCGTTTTCTAAAAAGCTTATCTTTTCAATTTATCCCAAAGTGGTATTTACTACTTTGTTATATTATGACATCAAATATTTGAAAAGGAATCAGACTTACTCTGCTGGTTTCAGGGGACCAAGGTAAGAATAATGAATGAGTATTTGCAGAGGCAGATTTAGGCATGATGTAAGGGGAAATGTCCCTAAAATTAGGTTTGTCCAAAAATGGTGGGAAGAGCTGTCACTTTATTCCTCACTTCAAGTCTGACAACTTATCGCATATATTGTAGAAAAGATTATTGTTCAGGTATGAGTTGAACTCAATGGCCTTTGAGGTCACTTCCAGTTCTGAGGTTCTCTGAGCTCAGTGTATTCCTCTTACTCTGAGATGGTGTACTAAGACATTTACTATGTGATGGGAAGAACTGTGTGTGCCACTAAAATGACTTTGCTTTTATAGTGGTTTTTTTTTTCAAACTTCTCAACCTCTGCTTAAAAGGAAAACATTAAAAGTAAGAATAACGGTGTCCCATATTTACATGTCAGCTCTTCTTGAGTTTAACGATATAATAATATTCTTGTTCTCATTTATTCTTCTGTGTTTTTTACCTTCCTGGTCTGATAAATATTAATGTTTTAATTTGTGCCATTTCTCTAAATTGGCTTTTCTCTCTTTAAATCTAGCGCTTGGTGTTTGATATCCCCGTCTTCCACCCACTAGTCGATCCCATCTCAGGTGAATTGGATGTGAAGAGAGCATTTGCAAAATGGAGGTTAGTACTTTCTTTCTTAATGATAGAATATTGCTTGAGAAAGCCTTGGTAATAACTTCCCATTCCCCTTTTAGGAGGAACCATAATCACATTTGGCAAGTACTGATGTATGCACGACGAGTTTTCTACAAGATTGATACAAGTACCCCTTTGAACCCTGAGGCTGCAGTATTGTATGTAATCTTTTCACAGTGTTCACAATGTTGTATGATGAAATTGAGTATTAAGCTATATTTACTGAGTTGGAAATTTTTTTTTCTAAATATAGGTATGAAAAGGATGTTCAACTTTTTAAAAGTAAAGTGGTTGACAGTGTCCAACTATGCACCACTCATTTGTTTGATCAGCCTAAAATAGAAGATCCCTATGCAATTAGGTTAGTATATGATGCAGATAAGTGACATTTTATATCACTACATTGTCATGTCATCCTCACATGGTCCTAGGATAGCTGTCTGCTTTAGGCAGCCAGGTAGTGTAGTAGATATATTGAGTCAGGAAGACCTGAGTTCAAATCCAGGCTCAGATATGTACTAGCTGTGTGACCCTGGGCAAGACATTTAATCTCTGTTTGCCTCACTTTCCTCACCTGTAAAATTGGGGATAAGAGCACCTACCTCCAGGGGTTGGTGTGAGGATCAAAAGAGATAATATTTGTAAAGTTAAGACCATAGTTAAGACATGGTAGGTACCATATAAATGCTTATTCTCTTCTTTTTTTCCTGTTTCCTTCCCCCCACTACTTTACAAGCATCTGTGTAATACTTTGGTATTTAGTTCCTTTATTACTTTGTCCTTGGCTTAGCAGGTGATGTTTAATCCCTGGTAGCTAAAGGGTTTACCCCCTTCCTATGTGGGAAACTACATATCGTCATGTATTTTGTGAAAAAACAAATCTGGTTTGGCTCCATGAATTTGACAATTTTACCATTCATTTAGTAAAAACTAGTGTCAAAATTAATTACCTTTGGTGCCTTGCACATTTATAGGCATTCAGTTACTGATCTTGTCATGAAGTCAAGACAATCAGTGATTTTGTGAAGAGATAGTGTAAACTAAGAGTAGTTCAACTCTTTGAAGACTTCAGCAGATCATTTCTTCTGTAGTCTCAGATCTTACCATTAAAATGTGACTTCATACACGTATAGTATCTTATGCTATGGTAGATATTTTCATGAATTTTTGAAGCCAAAAATTTATTACCTAATGGCTAGGCCTTTCTAACCTCAGACATCAGACCTATCTTTGTAGCCTTTCCAGCTTGTTAGGACCTGCCACCAGCATAGCCTTCAGGGTCAGCTCCATGTCAGTGCAGCACTAGGGAACGGTTTTGACATAATTTCAACAATTACAAATAATGCTTTGCAATTATTGATTTTTCACTCTCACAAAAATTTCATATAAAGAAGTGGGTGATACTTGAGACATCATTTAATTTCTCTCCTTCGTTTTACAGATGAGAAAACAGATGTCTAGGGAAGCCATTGTTGACCAGTTACAGAGCTAGTTAATGATGGGCAATTATTTTGGTGTTCTGTGATGCAAAACAAATCATTACACATCTTTATGTTCCTTAGCAGTACCTTTAGATGTGTAAAGGGCACTGTAAATAAGTCCAACACTTTAGAGTTATTTTCCAGAAATCTTATAGCCCTGAGGGAGGGGAAGAACACTGTTTTTAGAATATCAGTTGAGAATATGAATATTCTAGCAAATGAACTGACATAGAAGGCTAAAGAAATCAGAAGCCATGCATGTTTTTAAAGTCTTTGAATCTTCTTTCCCAAAGTTTTTCTCCATGGAATCCTTCTGTACATGATGATGCTAGAGAGAAGATGCTGACTCAGAAAGTAGGTAGAAGATTTAATTCCTAAAAACAAATTTTTAAGTTCTTTGTAACCTGAGACCAGCTCAGGATTTACTTTTACATTTTTCTTTATTTTGAATAACTTTTTTTTAGAAAATGAAATCGTACTACATATTTTGGGGGAAAAAATGAAAAGCTATAGATTTCTGTTTCTGCCTGCCTTTTCTGTAATTTTTAATGCCTTGTTTTTTTATTATGCCTAGAAGAAGCCAGAAGAACAGCATAGTAAAAACCTCCATGTCGCTGGCCTGTCATGGGTAAAGCCTGGCTCAGTGCAACCTTTCAGTAAAGAGGAGAAAACAGTAACAACTTAAATGAATTTCTGAATACTGGTGCACTGAGCACTTTTCTGCTGGTGAAGGGAGAAGAGCAGGAAGAAAGTTTTCTGCTGGACTCTGGACTAGTTAAGCTGACCAATGGCCGTGACTGTAAAGAGTAAAACTGCTCAAACAAAGACTGATTTTTGGTGTTTTACATATACATCTAGGTTCTAACAGAATTTTGGAAGACTTCTCTTTAAATAATGCAATACTTCTGTTAGAAGTTTCTTTAGGATGGTTGTCTAGTTGAGTACTCCAAATTTTTGGGGATTTTTGAAGGGGCTTTTAAACTTATTTTTCTTCCCAGAAATAGCCTTTTTTTAAAACCTAATTGGCTGAAAGATTAGCAGGAAATCTGATGCTGAAGGCAAGGTAAGCTGCATTCATTTCAACTAATATAGCAGACAGAGTTTAACACTATTTAATGGTCTTGAAATCAATGGTTTCAATTGTAAATATGCTAGAATGTGGAATTGTATATAGAACTGGTTTAGTAACTCAGCACTTTTAAGTGAAAGATAAACTGAGACTGCTAGTCTTAGCCTACTGTCTTACTGATTTACAAGTTGATATTGTCACTGAAGCATACATTAGTCCGATGAAAGGAGACCAGAACACTATGATTTGTAGTTTTTTGGTGTGTTGTTTTCCCCAAAGCAAACTACAGTTGTATTTTTTTTAATGGTTATGTCTTTTGGGGATCTTTAAATAAAAGGTTCCTGATGGAGTCAAAGGTATTTTAATGACACTGAGGTGCCTACTCTGCTAGTATGACTAATGTGTGTCCAATAGTGACAAAATAAATTGGAAAAAAATACTTTTTTTTTCTCTTGTCATTTGTTTATATTATGTGGGAATAAATTAAACCCAAGGTTTGTCCTGCCTTTTTTTCCCAACAGAAGACTCCGAAGATCAATTTATAAATGCTTTTATTGAAAAATACACTTGTAATATTTTCATACAAAATTACAGTAGCAATAGGTAAGCATCTTGACAATTTTATAAATATTTTTACAGACACTATTCCATTTGAACAGTGTTAAAAAAAGTTCCATATTTCAGACCAGTATGAAGTTACTCAGTAACTTGTTTTATACTAATTCAATTTACAACTGAATTATATCTTCCTAATAGATTATTCAACTTTGAAACTGAACAGGAATGATTAATAAAGGTTTATCATTCAACTGCTATTAGCATTTAATATTCCTTAATTTGTGTAAGCGCTAAAAGTCTGAAAATCTAGATTCTGAACTCGATCCAGTTTTTCTCACCTGAAGGTGTCGGGTATAAGTAGTAGCATATCCAACGCTATTTAGAAATTCAAATTAATAGCTGCAAGTGTTTTTGGGATAGCTACCTCCAAAGACAAGAGATCATAATTCTTCTGATTACCTCATAGGTCAACTTGATTTTGGACATTTTAAACTAATTTCTGAGATCAAGCAAAATTAGAACTCCCCTACCTAAAAAAAAGCTAAAGGAATTCAAGCGCCCACAACTGTCAAACTTAAACAGTTTTAAAACGCTGCTTGTTTGTTTTTTTTTTTAAATAAATACAAAAAGGTCAGATTAAAAAGAATTTTTAATGTTTATCCTGGAGAGAGTTCTGAACTTAACCATCACATTGTAGAAAGTGCCATTGCAAGTATACAGCAAAAAAATAACTCATCTGGGTTATAAAATCATGCTTTTTACAGCCCTAAAGTGCCACATCTTATACAAGTTCACTTTCACACATTGCACAGATACATAAAATAATCACTGCAAAGTGCCCAAGAATTTTTAAAAGCCCACCACATACAGAGTTCTTAAGGGAATAGGAGACATATTAAATAATCCTCGATAGTTATCAATGGTGTTTTTCCTGTCCATTTTCCCTTAGGGTTGCATAAATCCTCTATTCATGCAAGTTTACCCTAAAACTTTCAACTATGTACATGTTTGGGGTGAGGCAGAATAGGGAGGAATGAGTTTGAAATGTAGCTTCTCTGATACAGTAGCTACTTATTAATATTACTATTAAAAACACTCCTAAGAAGAATATTCTGCAGATAGGAATAGGTTTACATAAAGGCTTCCCTGGAAATCTCTTATAAAGAATCAAAATATGGAAGCTAAGTAGCCTTTCTCTGGGGACTGTGGCTGTGTAGACTTGAGGAAATAACATTAGAAAGCTTCTTGGGTATGGCAGCTGGACTGAGCATATACTTTATAAGCAAAGTGTGAGAGATTTACAGTCTGCTGGGAAAAGAATCTCTCAGTTCTTTAAACAAGACTTGATGGTTTGGCTGGACTAGGTTACGGGAGAAAGCCCCATGCTTTGGCATATCTTAAATGCTGCTGCTGCAGTAGTTTTTGAGAAGACAGCTTCAAAACAAGGGACTAACCTTAATGGGTCCCTCTGTCATTAGCCACATCTTGTAGGCGTCGTAGTAAGGCCGTATGATTTTCTGGGCAAATCCTTTTAGCTGGTGATTCGCTTCCATCTTCTAAAAGAATGCCTCTCTTCTTGGTCGGAGTTTCCCCAGTTCTTATCATACTGTTGATCTCTTTCAGCCTCTACATTAACAAAGAAGATATGTAATGTGCTGGTAATATCATAGCTCTGTAAATTCAGATTATTCCTGGTAACTAAGATGTTTAATCAAAAGTCCAATCACATTTGTGGGGTTTTTTCTTCGCTAATTTTAACGCTTTACAAATGGTAAACAAACATAGTGGAGTGGAGGAAAAGATAGGGGAGGACACCATCAAAGCCTACTAATTAAGATATTTTGGCTTTTAATTTACCTTTAAGTAGGTTTCCATGGGAGAAAGAATTATGAAAGTGATTTAGAAGACTTTGGAATTGTGAAGGGCAGTCACTGAATTTGGTGGTAAAGGGGAACCTGAAAGGATTTAAGAAATTGGAAAAAGACTCCAGCTAAAGGACAAAGAAGCTGGTGGGGTTGTCAGGGTGTAAAGCACAGTGAGAACTCCATAATTTTCCACAATAGCTAAACAGGGGCTCTATTAGCAAGAACAATAAAGATTAAGGAACTCATTCCCATCAAGTAGGGAGAAAAGGGTGAAATGTTCAGCAATGCACATAGTATTTTTATTTCTGTCCCAAATGATTTGTCTCTATGTTCAAAAGTTCAGGTTGGTCTCCCTCCTAGAAGTGAAGGTGGTAGAGTGAGGTGATTATGGAACTCCTCGCTGGGTCAAGGAGAATAAAATGTTCCTGAATAGAGGGCTCCAGTGTGCAATGAAAGAATCTGAAAAGAATCCTGACCAATAGGTGAAAGACTGTCACACTGGAAAGTAGGATCACAAAACACCTAGATCTAGGAGAAAGAAGGTTCTTCCCCAAAAGGCACTGGATGCTTTGAAGAAGCAGCTGTTTGTCCTTCAAGGAATGATAATATGGAACCATATGCTCTCAGAAGAAGGACTCAGTAAGAGTGGGAGGAAGAAGACAAGTAGTAGCAGTTGGTATGGTAACTCCTTTCTGAGAATGCTGAAGTAGCTAATTGTCAACCTGATAACACTATAAAAATGTGTGCTGTTTTCCCAAGGCACATTGGCAAGATGTGACAGAGTTCTAGGACTTATAAAGTCAGATGACTACCCCCCTACTTCTGGTGGTACAGGGTGCTCATGGTAGTACCAGATGGTCTAGAAGGTGTAATTAAATATGCAAAATACTTGAGCATGAAACTGAAGACCTTGGGGACACAGGTGGTATTTGTCATCACTACTACCCCAAAAGGCGAGAGACTGAGAAAAGGCAGATCTGGAAACAAATAACACTATACACTTTGGTTTGATAACAAGATGTAGATTCCTGAAACAGGAATGATAGGTGCTTGGACTAGGACTAACTATACCTAATAAGGGTTGCTAAGAATGTATTTGCCTCACGTCTTGAAAATCTAATCAAAAGGGTATTTAACTTGAAAGGGAAGGCTGAGGCAAACAACTGCCAATGTATACCCACCAACATATAGGATGGGAGTAGCCACAATATAGGAAGAATGGCAGTAGACATACCCAGAAGTGCATGAGACAAAAATCCAAGAAAAGGTGCCAGTTGAAAACAAAGCACTTGTTTTAGCTGCCTATAAAAAAATACACAAAATACAGATAAGAAGCAACATGAACTATAGATTCTAATATAAATGCAAATTTGGCCTTGCAGGTATCACTGAGATTTGGCTTGTTGGGACCCTTGACTAAAATATGATTCTGAAAGGATATGCCTTAATCAAAAGGAACAAAATGGGGAAGGGGAGGTGGAATGTTAAGAAAAATTTCATGAGCAAGTCTAGGAATCAGAGGAAACTGTGTGATTATCAATGGAGACACAATACAAGTAGTATCGTCATAGGAGGATGCTTCATACTGCCTTTGTAGAAAGATATAGTAACTGAGAAGCCTAGCACAAGAGTGATGGGGATTTCAATCTTCCAGATAGTGGAGCAGTTAATAGTTTTGCAAAGAAGTTCAATTTCAACTTGGAAAGTGGTCTCTGGTGAAGTGTCCCAGGAATCTTTACTTGGCTCAGTGTTGTTTCACAGTTTTATCAATGATTTGGATAAAATTATAGCTAGCATGCTTATTACAGCTGGAAAGGCTGGCTAGACTAAACACCAAGTCAAAGGTAACATTTCAAAGTCTAAGGGATCAGTGTTAAAGTTTTACACTTGGTTTCAAAAAACCATCTTCAAATACAAGATGGGGAAGGCACAGCTATATGGTTCATATGGAAAAGATGTAGATGACTTAGTGGACTTCAAGATCAATGAATCACCTCTGTGATATGGCAGCCAAGAAAGCAAACCGTTTTAGGCTGTACTAAGCAAAGCAACGTTCAGTGCTAGGGAAGCGATGTGGCCACACTTAGGCTATGTTCAGTATGAGTATCACATTTTTACATTACATTACATTTTAAGGACATTAATAAGGCATCAAGAGCAAAAGTCTTATACCTTTTCAAAAATCTGATGAAACATGGACACTTCAGAACAATGTTTTTAAAGACATAAAAGGCACGGGATTACAAAAGAAGACAATTATACTGAAAATATAGTTCTCAAAACTTTTTTCATAGAAGTTCACAAAATGTTTTTTTAAAGGAAGTTGATCAGTATGGTGAAGGGCCTCCAGATCAACTGAAGGAACTAAGGATTTTTATCCTGGAGAAAAGATTAAAGGGGAAAAGGGAGAATACATCATAACTCTTCAAATATTTAATGGGTTGTCATGGGAAAGGCGGCTTTGGCTTATTTTGTTTGGCTTTAAACAACAGAGCTAGGTGCAATAGAAGGAAACGGCACAAGAAGATTTGGTTTTATGCAAATTAAAGAAGAACAGAGGTATCCCAAGGCCAAACGGATTGCCTCAAACAAAAGCTAGATGATCACTTTTCAGGTATACGGTAAAAGGAATTCTTGCTCAGGTATGAGTTGGACTAGATAGCCCCTGAGGTCTGTTCTATCTTTGAGATTCTGTGATAATTCTTTGTCACAGCCAAATTTATAATTTCATTCAAGCCATGATTGTCTAAGGATGGCTTCTACTGCTGGGCACCTGCTACTCTGCCTCCCTGTTAATAGTGATTGGGTCTGTGTTCAGCACGAAGCCCTTAAGTCTTTGTAGCATTGGGCACATAGAATCTAAGGTTTCAGGTAGCTCTCACCTTTGAAGGACTACTGCTGAAGTAGTAGAAAATCTTTTCCCGAGGAGAGAGCATCATTTCGTTCTTATGAGGGGAAATGTAGACAGGGTGATTCTGGGACAACTGTATTCGTCGAGGGGAGCCTGTTCTCACAGATGGGTAGGGAGAAAGCGGAGGAACATCAGTCTGTTAAATAAAGAATCATAAAACTGGTCAGTGCCTGTTGTTCTCAGACAGGCAAACAAGTAGTAACATCTAAGCTAATTCTGTTTCATTTTTTTGTTAAAGTGACACAAAGGCAACACATCATTCTGTGTGGGGAAAGTCACAAGACTACATTAGCACTCCTGTCTCACATAATGAGGTGGCCTTTCTTCTTGCCAAAGCAAACCCCCTCCACCCGCACAAGTGATCCATGCCATCCAGTCTTCTCTATCAGATCACTCCGATCATCTGCACTCTCACTTATTTTTAATCCCTCCCTGTCTAAAGGATACTTCCCTACTACTTACAAACATGTCTATGTCTCCCCAGTCCTCAAAAAACCATCACCTCATCCACCCATCTGGGCTAGTTATTATCTCTCCAATTTGTGGCTTAACTCCCTGAGAAGCCCTCTATTTCCTTTCTTTTCACTCTCTTCTTAATTCTCTGGCTTCCAAATTCATCATTCAACAAAAACTACTCTCTCCAAAGTTACTCATGTCTTAATTGCCAGATTAATTAATTGTTTGTCCTAATTGATTAATTGTCTTTTTCTCAATCCTTGTCCTTCTTGACCTCTCTATGGCCTTTGACAATACTGATTACTGTCTTCTCCTTGATACTCTCAATTCTCTAGGTTTCAGTGACAGTTTTCTCCTGGTTCTCCTCCTATTCCTTAATCTCCTTTCCTGGATCCTTCATCCAAGTCACACACATTAACCTTGAGTGTTAGTTGCCCCTAAGGCTCTGTTCTAGGCCCTCTTCTCTTCACCTTCTGTGCTATTTCTCTTGGTGATCTCATTAGCTTGGATTCAATGATTATCTCTTTGCTGATATTCTATCTACTTATTCAGCCCTAACCTCTCTGTTGACCTCAGATGAGTCTCACATCTGCAACTGTCTTTTAGACATTTTGAACTGGTGTTCAATAGACATCTTAAACTGATCTTGTCTACTAAAACTGAACTTGTTATTTCCCTTCCCCCTGCCCTCCCCTCTCCACCCTTCCTAACTTCCCTATTACTGTTAAGGATACTACCATCTTGGCCCTGGAGTCAGGAGGACCTGAGTTCAAATCCCACCTCAGATACATAACACTTACTGGCTGTGTGACCTTGGGCAAGTCACTTAACCCCAATTGCCTCATCAAAAAACAAAACAAAACAAATTATACTACCATCTTCCTAGTCTAGAAAACTAGATATCATTCTCAATTCCTCAGTCTCACTCCCCAGCTCCCATCAAATGTTGCCACATCCTGCCAATTCTATCCTTATAACTTCTCTTATATATGTTCCATTTTTAATTCTGACACTGGCACCACCCTGGTGCAGGCCCTTATCACCTAATTCTTAGATTACCGCAATAGCCTCCTGGTTGCTCTTCCTGCCGAAAACATCTCCCTACTCCAGGCTAGTTGTCAAAGTGATCTTCCTGAAGAGCAGGTCTTACCATGTTACCACCCTACTTCAATACTCTCCAGTGATTTCCTATCACCTCCAAGACTAAATATCAAATCCTCTGGTATTCATAACCCTTTATAATCTGGCCCGTCCCTCATCTCTCCAGTCTTCTTTATATCTTAGAAGCTCCTCTTCTCCCTCTCTCCGTTCACCACCCTTCCTGCCCAAGTACTCTGTGATCCAGTGACACCAGCCTCCATGCTTTTCCTTGAACATCACACTCCACTTTCTCCTCATCTCTTGGCTTCCATGGTTTCCTTTAAATCCCAGCAAAAATCTCACCTTCTGTAGGAAGAGTTTTATGATTCCCCTCCTTTCTGTAATCCTCTTGATTTTCTCCACATTATCCTGTATATATCTTGTTTGAACATAGTTTGAATGTTGTCTCCCCCCAATAGACTGTGAACTCCTCAAGAGCAGGGGTTGTCTTTTGTCTTTCTTTTGTGTCCCCAGTACATAGCACAGTGCCTGGCACATAGTAAGTGCTTAATGTTTATTGCCTGACCAATAAGAAACATTCTGTGCTACTGCAGAATATAGATGGGGATGTATACCACTTTAACATTTGTAGAGCACTTTACTATAACTGTAAGTACAGTACTACAGTAATACTTCTGTCAAACTTGCCTGCATTCCCTTTTAATAAATCTCTCTTAATTTTCCAAATTAAAAGAGAAAACCCACAGAAGATAATTCATTGCTGAAAATCAGTGAAAATAATAGTTAAACTTACCTTGTTTGCCTGAGAGTATTTCCGGGCAAATGTTTGAATTTGTTCTACGTAGATATTGTTGTAAAACTGAATGAGATCTCCCCTCTCTTCCTCTTCAATGTCACTGTTGGCACCAGTGAGACGAGTCGGAGTTGGAGGGGCACTGTTGGGCTGTGGAACTGGCAGAGTACTACTAGACCTCATGACTGGGCTGGAGTCTCTGCTTGCTGGAAAAGATGTAATAATAAAAGGTATTACATAACATCTTGCTAAACCAATCTGGTAATCACAGGAGACTTTTTATACTATGTCAGAAAAGAACATCTGCATTAAAGGGTAAGTTTGACTTGTGTTTATATCCTCTGGCCCTCTGGCCCCCTGGTATGTAAGAGCAGCTGTTATTCATAATATATCATACCTGTAAACTTTTTACTACATTATAACAAATCAGTTACAGTCCCATGTAACGCAGTTAATCTTATCCAAAATATTTTTTCATCTTTTATAACTAAAGCACTTTTGATCTTCAGGTAGCAAACTGGTGAGCCACTTGTAGCAAATAATGTGCCAAATCCATTTACTTGACTGAGTTTTAAATGATCAGTTAGAAAGTGCTGTCCTCCTTCACCCTACCCCCACAGGATGGGTTTCAGTATTTTCAGGAGCCCCGGCCCTAAGCATATTGAATTACCTAATATTTCCAGCATTCTTTCCCCACTACTACTTGCCATAAAACCAGTGAACAGAAAAATTCCTATCAGATATCATCTTTGAACATCATCTAGAACCTGGCAGGAATATTTTTCATTGTCTAAAGAAGTTAATGTATAATTTTCTTTTCTACTGATTTGCTGGTCAAGGGAAGAAATTTCTAATTTTATAATAATTCATTAAGGTACTACTTACTTCTGTCTTTGTTCGCTTCTGTAGGGGAATTCTGGTGGCTTCTACTATCGCTGCTACCAGAATTTCTTCTTCTCCTTCTCTTTATTAAGACGCTCCTATATACCTATAGAGAGACTCAAAGAATTAAGATAACAAGTCCAATACCTCGTTCCAGGGTTCTTATAATAGTTCATGCTAACCTGAACCTCTCAATTTTCAAATTTACACACTAATCCATCATAATTGCTCTTAAGAAAAGGAAAATCCATTGATCTGATCAAAGTTTGTGACCATAGGTTACTTTTTGCCTATTTTTACACATCTAGTTAAAAAATGACATCTTGGTGGGGAAAAGATCATTAACAGGTTAATTTCCTAATTCATGGTAAAGTTAAAGAGACAACCAACCAACATCTACTTAATATGGCTGCCTTCTGAAAGCTCTTTGAAAAATAAAATTGCCACCCAAAACAGTCCTTGTTTTACATGGAATAAAGTTCCCAGTTATTTCTTCTGAGGAATTTTTTAAAGTGTTTTAAGTTATATTCTGACTTAATTGGCTGACTTGTATATTTAATAAAAACTAAGTTGTCTACAGCACTGACCAAAATGACAAATATGCTTACCTGGCTTCGAGCCTGTGGTTGTGTCCTATAGCAACGCATTATGTTCTGGAAGGATTTGTCTTCATTTGTGACCTGGAAAGATAATGAAGAGTGGTTAACAACTCTGCCCAGGCCCTTTTCAATAAAAAAATTCTTTTTTGCCTCACAGTGGTTAATACCTTTGCCATCACATAAATAGCACACATTAATAGCTGGTCTAGATGTCTATCCATCATAAGCTCAGGACACTGCACAACAGAGAATTCAAAGCAGGTCCAGATTTTTTTCCTTAACTCATCAGAAATCTCTAGCTTAGTACAGAGATCCCGGAGACGAACACTTGCTAAATGGTAAACCTGTTGGAAAGGCAAAGCAATTTTAATTTAGTTTTTTTTTATAACTTGTGCTCCTAAAAGTGCCCACATTATTACAGTGCTGGGGTGACTGCAAAAGAAAGAGTACCTTTCGAAAGAAGAGGGATAAGGAGCTTGTTTTCCTGGGTCTGATGCTGGTTAAAGGTTGGTTCTGTCTCTGCTGTTGTCCAGTGGAGGAAATCTGTTGATTAGCCACCTGACTTGGGACCTGCAAGGCTGTTCCTGTCACTTGCTGAGAGCCCAAGGTCCCAGCCAGGGCCTGGGCACTGAGGGGCTGAATGGAGCCAGTCATAGCTTGAGTCTGACTGCTAACACTGACCTGGACTGGGAAGAATTGTGATCCCTCCATTTTCATTGGCAATACCTACAGTTTGTTATAGAGAAATTGGGAGAAAATAAAAACCTGAAAAATCACCACATAATAGATTTCAATGTAAGCTTCTTTTTCACTCCAGCCCTTGGTTCTTCAACTTCATGCAGACATAACTTAGCACGCACCCACCACCATCTAACCTTGTACTGGGATTGTCACGGTTTGCCCGTTGTTGGCTGTTACAGTGGCAGTTGCCATAGTGACCAATGTCTGTCCAGGGACTGGAGTGACAGACACAGACTCCGCTGTTACATTTTGCAATGGCACTGGGTTGACAAGGGACTGTGGGGAAACCCGCACAGGTGCCCCACTGTCCGAGGCACCATCATTCTCCACAAAAAGCCTCCTCCGGGTAGTGCTGGTTGTTGGGGAACTGTATCTGTCATATAATGTGGTAGGAGATGTTGTCAAGCCTGAGGGCAAATAACACATTTTTAAAAACCATTTCACTTCTGGAGACAAGTGAACACTGTTATGCACAAGGTCAATGATAGCTAAGCTCTGAAAGGGAGATCTGTTGAAAGCAAAATAATATGGAAACTGAGCCATAATTAGCAACTTTTGACCCCAGGGCAAGCAGCATGAAACATATTCCAGGCAAATTCAGTTGTAGGAGGTGTGAGCCTACTGGGCTGGCTCACCTGGGAGTGCTACCTGGTGGTAGCTTCCTACTTTAATTCTTCTAGGAAACAAGGGGCTAAACGGCTATGGAAGAGAGATTAAACTTATTCTGCTTGAGCCCAGAAGACCGAACTAGGAACAATGGTGGCAAAACAACGCAAACAGACAAGCTGAGGTTTGATGTCAGGAAGAGCCTTTGAGTGCTCTAAAATTGGACCAATGAGAGGCTTTGGGGGGCAGTGGGTATGTCCTCCTGCCTGGAGGCCTATGAGCAGAAGCTCGTGACTTTGTGTCACGGATGTTACAGAGAGGATTCTCTAGTAGGACTAGGGTCACTTCCAACTAGTGAAACTCTGAGAGTCTGCAGGTGCTGCCAGTCCCCTCTAAATTAGTACTTTGGGGAAAACCCTGATCACCCTATTATAATAAGTTACAGCTCAAGGTGGAAATCAGATTTTCCAATTATTTTCCATTTTTGTTTCTTTCATCCATACATATAAAGTTCCCAACACCACCACTAAACTCTGTCTGAAATGAGTTTCTCCTCCATCTGAACCAAATTTACTGGCTGAACCCAATCATATTTGGCATTCTGCACAAATGGCTAAGGTTTCCAAAAATAAACTGTCCCAACCTCAGTGGTTAACTATATAGGAATTTCTTTTAGGAAACATTAGGAAGATATAAGCAGGGGTATCAACAGGAGCTAGGCTTGAGCCTACTATTGATTTTCATCAATATCGATTGACAGACTAGAGAACAAGATTATTAAGTTTACAGCTGGACACAAAGCTGAAAGGTCAGAAAGACAGGATCAGAATTCAATCCCTTAGGTAAAATGGAACCTTGGTTCACTAGGTCAGTGTGGGAGAGCCACCTTGGGAAGAAAAAAACAAATTGTACATACATTTAATGATGGAAAAAGGAGTGGCTATGTGTAAGACCAGCAGAAATGTGGAGGAATCAAGTGGGTAATAAGGTTTAACCATGACAGGGAATGTATGAATCCTCTCTCAAAAGGTGATTACAGACTTTAAAAAATGATTATCAACAAACACTTACTGTGTATCTACTATGTACAGAACGCAAAAGAGTGAAGACCTTGTTCCTGTTCTCCAGAGATGATCTGGACTTTACATACAGGAGCACTTGATAAAAAAAGTGAAATTAATCCTAGAACCAGAACTGGTCAAGTCACAAAAAGTCACGGAATTGGACATAAAACAGACTAACAAAGATAGTAATATGGCATAACAATTATAAGCACAACAAATTTCCCTCAGATGGCAGCCTGGATTTGTATTTCTACGCCTTCAGATATTGCTATTTTCCAACAGTTGCACTGATGAGGTAATTCATATCTAGTAAGAGGTCAGAAAGATCTCAGACTGCCTAATTCAGTGAAACATACACATTTAAGCTTCACTGTTCTATCTTTTCTTCCACCACAGTTAGTTTTCTTTTAAGTCACACACAATAATACGTGTCTCCAAGGACATAATCTAAATCATATGTGCTCTCCACTATGAGTAGTGCATTTTTTCATGCTTAGTTTTATTTGCTCCCCAAGTCTGGCCTACAGGTACATATGAAGTTCTAATGTTTACATTTGAAAGCTGGTATAAGTCTCAATTTTGAGCTCCTGTGAGTTTTAACTTACTTCTTCCCAGCCCTCCACTTTCAGCACGAACTTCATTAACCCTTCTTGGAGTCAAAGGGGAGCCCGTCACACTAATTCGATCTGCCCGTTCCAGGTTCTGAGGTGGCATAACCTAAAGAGAATTATTTATGTAGGATGCACAAATACAATTATGAGAAAAAAGAAAACAAACAAGTTGATGGTTTATCTAGTTGCTGCTTGTGAGACTTATATGCTATCTCTGCTGCCTTTTACAATCTCATTGCTGAATACCTTCACAGGGGTGGGGAACCTGCAGCCTTCAAGGCTACATGTGGCCCTCTAGTTCCTCAAAGGTGGCTCTCTAGGTCCTCAAGTATGGCCCTCTGACTGAATCCAAACTTCACAGAACAAATCCCCTTAATAAAAGAATTTGTGCTGTAAAACTTGCACAAGTCAAAAGGCCGCACGCAAGGACCTAGAAGGCCACATGTGGTCTCAAGGCTGGAGGTTCCCCATCCCTGTTCTAAGACTTAAAATACCTGCCAGCCTTAGGTTCAGACACTGATTAATACAAGGGACAGTCGATATGACAGATGAGTTTAAGCATATCTTCCAAAAGATTTTATTTCAGAACTGCACAAAAATACTTCCAACTTTCCATAAACTATGAATACTATATATTCATACATAGCAGTAATGTACATATTATAAGCCAATAATGTTCATGGGAAAACATTTCCCTTACAACCTTTTCTTACCTTAAGTCAGTATTAAAATTTAAATTCACACTCAATAACATTTGGATACCTGGGTTTTAACATTTAACTCTGCCACAGTTGCATTCTCTAAACTGAAGACACTCATAAATACTTTTTTAAAGAGACTCTATCAATAGAATAACCAATGAGGTAGATGGAAATCTTTCTACTTCCTGAAAAATGGAACTGCGATTTTATCATCATCTCTTTTCTGCAAAAAGATGCCAAAACAAAAATTTCAAACCTCTTCACAGGTAGGAACTTTGTTTTCATTATCTCTAATCCTGTCCCAAAGTGGGGACTCCAGCTTCCAGGCCATGTGGTCTAGGATCTGTTCTTCAATATGATTGAGGTGCTTCACCACTTCTCTACAGAGGCCATCTTCTGCTCTAATAAATACCTCTATCACCTGTCATACAGAAACAGACCTTGCTTCATTTAGGTTGCAGAACAAATTATTCATAACATTACAGCTATAAAATTATGACCAAAACTTGGGTTATATCCATGCCCTGACAAAAATGTTGGTACAGTTAATCAAAACCATGAAAGAAGCAACTAACAGACACAAAATTTCATCCACGGTTATCTGGTGTTACAGTGTTCAAGAAAACTTTGGCCTTTTGTTCAGAAAGATACCTACATCTCTCATATTCAGTTTTCACAAAATACAATGGAAGGCTGCCATGACATAACAGACTGTGACTGGTTTGCTTATCTCCTTTGTCCTCTTAGTTCAACACATTTATAAGAATTCAAATTTTTTATTTGAGTGAAGTGAATAGCAACCAAATGAAGGGATTTCCCTTAATTATTTTCTAAATGTAAAACTGTGAACATAGTTCTGTAATAAATACTATTTTATTCCTTTTCTGCTCCTCCAGATGGAAATCTAGAAATCATTAAGTATCAAATAAAAGGAGAAGAAATGTATTGAAATATTAATATGCAACTAGATGACTTGGGGGTGGCTAGGTGACGCAGTGGATACAGTGCCAGATCTGAGTCATGAAGACTCATCTTCCTGAGTTCAAATCCAGCTGCAGACACTTACTAGCTGTGTGACCCTGGGCAAGTCACTTAACCCTGTTTGCCTCACTTCCTTATCTGTAAAATGAGCTGGAGAAAGAAATGACAAACCACTCCAGTATTTTTGCCAAGAAAATCTCAAATGGGATCGTGAAGTCACACACAACTGAAATGACTAAACAACAAAAGATAACTTAATAAGAACTTAAGTTAAATCGGCTGGTTCCTTTTGAAGTCATATGTGGATTAATCCTCCATCAAATATAAGTATTGAGTATTTAAAATACCTTATAAAAATGATAAAGTGGTACATCAAAGATTTCTGCAATAAAAGGGAAATTCCCTGGAGGCTTGTAAGAGAAAGTGATGACCTCAAGACAACAGGCTAAGAGTGATCTGTGGAAAGCATCCTGTTCCAGTATGCCCTGTAAAATATAGTCATTAAGTTACAGAAACATTAGACTATTACAAAAAGACAGCATTTTCACAGTGAATTAAAAATACTGAAGGCATCAATCAATCTTCTCCTGTTTAGTCAAAAGAATGAGAATGTATTTTTTTCCAAGAAAGTTATCAGAGAGTCAACTTTCACTATAGCCATTTTGGAAACAAAGGTATTAGAGATAACTTATGGGTAAGGAAGGTACTTGTCTTCTATTAAAGCTATACTTCTCTAATGTTTTATTGTGATATAATGGTTATTTTGGATAAACATTATGCCAACAGTGCACAAGCACTAGCAGATCTTACCAAACTGGAAGGACTATAAATAAAAGCACAGTGAAGAATTGTTTGTGTATGTGTGTAATCAAAAGATTGGCTCAGCTAAGTTTAAAAGAGTTTATTACTATAAAAGTTGGCCACCGACTTGGACCTAGATGGCTACTGAATCACTTTCCAACTCTCAAATTCTGTTTGATTCTGTATGTGTGACTTTCTACTAAGATAATGTCTATCTCTATTAATAGGGAGTATATCCACACCAATAAAATCTTAGAACCCTAGACTGTATGTGAACTTACATAATCAATCTCTCTAAAAGAGAAAAAAATATTAATATATGGTATCTAGGAATTGGATGTTGCCCACCCTTACTTTATTTTTAAAATTTAGAAAACAAAATGTTAATCCTTTCGTTTAGCAATACACCAATATATTAACTCATGTCCTAAAAAGTAAATATTTAGAATTAGAAATGAACTCAATTTGTTTTCTTAGGAAAGAAACAGCTTAGGAAAAATTCTTACATTGGCTACTAGTTTGGTATGTTTAATTATTTAAATATAAATATACAGCTTGCTGCCATAATTTATTAAATATGCTACTGTATATTAAAGAGGATGGAATCCTTAAAAGGATTCTTTTATCTTTAAGGATCTTCAATGCTTAATTCACTACTTCTATAAAGCTTAAATGAAATCTCACAAGTTCATTACTTATTCAAGTAAACAACGAAATCTGGAAGGTTTGAAAGGTAATGCCCCTAACCCAAAACAATTTTAAAATTACAATTTCCTGATGGCCATGATGGGAAACCTTTAAACTACATCCAAACAGATAGAGATTTGTATGGAACTGACGTTATGATGTCAAAATTTAGACAATAAACATGTTTTACCCTTTAGCTTCTCCTGCACATACTGTTACGCCATTTTCTTTATAGTGATCACTGATCACATTAAGTAGGGCCTTTTAATATTAGGGTGATTGAGGAACAGTCAGAATAATGTCATCCACAGATATGAATGTCTACAGGACTTCATTATAAGAGATTCTTCCATTTGGACCATGAAAACGGCATCTTCCATGGCTACAGTAAAAACAGATATCCTTGTTTTGTTTTATTCCTCACTTGTTTCATTCCTTACAATGTACAGTCATGTAGCAAGAGTGAGAGATGATATAGGCACAGCCTGAATGCTGCCCTGACAGCCATAAGACATAAAGACCTATAGGAAGGCTTCCACAACATTGGGCAGATCCCTTATGAAAGACTTAAGGGAGAAAAGAGATAAGAACAGCACAATTTGAGAACCACAGACAGACTGTGATGTGCAGAGAGAGTACCCATAAGGATGAGATCAGAGGTCCACTGAATTGTGATTTGTATGGAAGATATGCTAAGGCCAATGGCTCATGTTTCCCCAGATGCCTGTTAAATTCCCTCTACAGATTTTTTCCCCCTGTATTATTTTTCAGGCAACAATGAATGTTTTGATGCAATAATATTTGACCATGTTTATCTCAACCTTGGTTATTTTACTTACAGATAAATCTATGTCTCCCAGTCTTTTCTGTTCCTGATCAATGACTGATTCCAATACCTTATAGTAAAGTATTTCTGCATAACGAAAATGTTTGCTGGCAATTTCTATAGGAAAAGAAAAAGAAAAAGAAAAATTAAAAACACCTAAAGAATGTGTCCAGAAATGGTATGGCTCCACAAAAATCAAAATCAAAACAAAACTGCAGATCTCAGATATCTGTGTTTTAACCAATAATAAATCTCTGAATAAGCTCGGTAATATTACTCTTTTACAGTTGTAAAATGAAATTTATTTTAATGAAGAACTTTAAACCATAATACCATTCAATTAAGATAACAAAGTTTGTGTCTGTTAAACTGAAATCTATTTTGGGGGTGACAAGGAAGAGGAGACTGTCTTTTTATAAGACATATTATAATCTGATTAATCACTTATAATACTACCCAAACCTTGCATAACATTCTAACACAAAACAGCTACATCTAGTATCCTTATGTTAAGCAATCACTATTCTACCACTTAATTTCCTTTCCTCAAAATATTACAAAGGAATTTAAAAAAATACTTAAGATCCAGTATGATGAGGGTTTGAAGCTGACACACATTTTGAGAAAGGCCTGCCATTAGGATAACAGAGAAACTAAGCCAGTTAGAAGCAAATAGTATATTCCATCCCACAGCCTGAAGCAAATGTTACTGTGTCACCAATCTCTTGGCCACATTTCTGATTCATCAGATAAGGGCCACATTTAAACTCAACTTCAAAGAACAGTGCAACATAGCTGATGCTAAACCATACCTTTAGCACAACTGCTAAAATCGCTATCTGTCTGGGAGTGCTGACAATATATTTCATACATTTCTTTCAATCTGTTAGCAATAGATTGAGATGGATCCCTGGTACATGCCCTAGAAAAGAATGAACATAGGATCTAATTTAAATGTTTTGGCTAGTCACAAAGTCACAGACTGATCAAAGTTCTTTCTTTTGCTAATATACATTTAAAGTAATAAGAAATACTTAATACAAAAACTACAGAATACCCTTATGTCACATCTAAGTTATATATAAAAACTGTAGGAAAGAGATGAAGGAGTTGTAACCTGTGTTACGGGCTAATAGAACTTGCCAATGTGACACACACCACTGAGGATCAGGCTGGAGTCATAGACTTTGAGCTAGAAGGGATATCAGAAATTATCTAATTCAACTCTTTCATTTTCCAGTGGTGGGCAGGGCAATCATAGAGGGTAAGTGACTTTTCTACCAAGGCCAGGATCTGACCTTACGTGGTCTGATTCTACGTCCCAAGCTCTTTCCTCTGTATCATGCAACCTCTTGCCATACTCACTTCTTTTTTTCCTTTCCCTCCTTTATTTCTCCAATTTCCTCTCCTTTTAAGCTTTCTGCCTGCCTTTGCCTTATGTCCACTATCAGCACCCATGGGCAATGCTGAGTCTTGATGGTAACAATCTTATGTAATTATAATTGGTGGCAATTATTGAAATAATAAGCCCCAGGGGAGGGTCTTAACAATGAGATACCTCCTGCCAAACTGGAACTGGGTTCCTATACCAACCTAAATTGTAGTATCATGGGATTCTTGAGTTGTACAGGAGCTCAGCTGTCATTTAGCTTTGTTTTACAGAAACAGAAACTCAGCCCCAGAAAGTGAAATGGCTTGTCCAAGGTGACACAGAGAATTAGTGGCAGGGCTGGAGCTAAAACTTAGTTCTTGGGACTCTACGTCCTATTCCAGTTCTCATTCCTCTCTCCCACGCTACACTGGTCCCTGGAATAATGTCGCACACACGCACACACACACACACACACACACACACACACACACACACTCACTATCTATTTATCTATCTACACGTATATATGTATATATGTATGTGTGTATTTAACAAATTGACATTTTTAAAATGTGTACTATGCACAAGAAGCTGTGCTAGGTACTTGGGATACAAAGGTAAGAGAAAATACAAACACTGCTAATTTTCTCCTGATTTTTACACATGAGAATTACCACTTCTACCTGCTTATTCACATATTACCCACCCTTTATGTGGAACTATCCCTAAAATCTCTTGCTTGCCCTGATAGAGCTTCCTCTCTTCTGAACTCCCACAACACTTGTATCACATAATTTGGCACTCAATTACGTACTGTGTTGTATCAACTCAATTGTTTTAGTCTTATCTTTTCAACTCCTATTTATACTTCTGTACCTATCAAAGTAGGGTAGCTAAGTGGTACAGGAGATAGAACACTGCGCCTGAAGTAAGGAAGAACTGAGTTCAAATCTGGCCTCAGACACTTACTGGCTGTGTGACCCTGGGCAAGTCACTTAACCCTGGTTGCCTCAGTTTCTTCATCTATAAAATGAGCTACCAAGAAAACCTCAAAAGGGTTCACAAAGAGTCAGACACAACTGAAAATGACTAAACAACAACAAACCTATCAAAGTGACTCATAGTTCAGAGCAGGTTCTCAATAAATACTTTTACATTCATCAAGGTAAACAAAATACTGTATTTTCCTGGTCACTTTAAACATATATTCAATTTTAATGGCCTGGTATCAATGATTCAAACTAACCTCAGAACTTGTTCTAATTTCTCACTTGGTGAATTTTTGAGGCCTGCCAACATGGTGTGAAGACGACTCAAGCTGTGAGTAGCTATGGAAACAGGGGTCACATAAGGGTTGTTCTCCTTAACGTATCTGCGGCCAGTAAGTGGAGTTGAGATCCTAAATGCTTTAGACTAAAAGAAAATGAAAATCAAATAAAAAATGTTATTTGAGGTCAGAAAAAAACACACTTCTCACAATTCTCACAATTGGGAACACTAGGCCAAGGATAAGACTTTAATAGAACATTATTCAGAACTGTTACTCATGATTAAACATATCTTTTTGTTTATGAACAATACTGACAAGAATTATTGTCTGTATAAATGTGACTTTAGTCTGCTTTTCTCTCACCTAAATGAGACTGTCTCCTGAAAAATCAAGCCTCCTCCCCAAAACTAAATCCAAAAGGCAAAAATGAGTTATCCTTAATGACATTACCAACAATCTTGTAAACACTGTCCTCACTTCTAATAACCAAAATTTTAAGACTTATTCTACCTGCTCTAAGAATGCCTCAAAGATTTAAAAAAAAAAAAGGAAAAAGGACCTATTTGTCCAAGGGTATTTATAGCAGCTCTTTTTGTGATGGCTAAGAATTGGAAATTGAGGGGATAGTCAGCAATTGGAGAATGAATGAACAAGCTGTGGTATATGATTGTTAATGGAATACTATTGTGCTATAAGTAATGATGAGCGGGAGGATTTCAGAAAAACCGAGAAAGACTTATACAAACTGATGAAAAATGAAGTGAGCAGAACCAGGAAAACATCACACACAGTAACAGCAATATACTGTATGATGAACTGTATGATGAATGTCTTCAGCTATTTTCAGCAATACAATGATCCAAGACAATCCCAAAGAACTCATGATGAAAAATGCTACCTGCCTCCAATGATGGAGTCTGTATATAGATCTAAACATACAATTTTTCTTTTCCTTCCTTATTTGAGTTTTCTTCCATAAAATGACTGATATGGATATATGTTTCACATGATTGCAAGTATAACTTATTTCAAATTGTTTACTATTTCAGGGAGGGGGAAGGGGGAAGGACAAAGAAGTAGGGAATCTGGACCTCAAAATTAAAAAAAAAAGAATGTTAAAAACTATTTTTACATGTAATTGGGGGAAAAAATAAAATATTATTTTAAAAAATGCCTCAGAGGCTACAAACAGTTTGCCAAAATCTGATGCTCAAACAAAATCAGTAACTCAGCAAAATCTCACCTGCTCTATAAAATCTGCTTTAAAGAGAAGGAAAAAAACAGAACAAAACACCAAAACACTGAATGACTGTTTGCTAAAGAAAGGAACTCAATGGAGACTACTCCTTTTCCAGAAGTCTCTTCTGTTCCTATGTAATCTGTTGTTTAAATACTATAGTTAAACAATCCTACTTTATCTCAGTTTCTCAATGAAGTTAATTCTTTTAAAATTCAAAGAAATAAAAGTGGAAAAATCTTCACTGCAATAAAGGGTAACCTCAATATTTTGTGGTATAAATGGAATACTTCTGAAAAAGAGCTGAATTGGTGTCAAAGGATATAAGCATTAAAATAAATTTTTAATAGAAATATCCTTCATAATAACTCAGAAATCAAAGGTATAAATGTAAGTTGTGTGATGTCCTTAAAAGAATACTTTCCTTTAATTTTATACTGTCATATTTTCCTGATTATTGCTATCAAGTGAGACTTACATAAAACAGAAAGATATATTCTCTTGTGGAAGATGTCCTCCAGATGTCCATGTTTGAAGATGAGACTTTTTGCTGACTACATTAAAATCTAGGATTTTCGCAGGACCTCCTCAATGAGATCTATGAACACTCAAAAAAATATTAGCCTAACAATCCTTTCAGGAAAGAAAAAAGATGACAAATGCCCATTGTCCAGACCAGATGGTATGAAGGGGCAAAATGGGCTGGGCCCAGAGAAGCTGAGGAAAAAATGGCATTTGTAATCTGGCAATTTGCTCTATACTTTCAATGACCCTTGACACAAAAACTCATCTTTTTAACACTGATATTCTATGATTATGAAACAAAGAATGCTCTTTAATTTCCAATTAAAATACTTAAAGTTCAGCCTCCGACACATAACACTTCCTAGCTGTGTGACCCTGGGCAAGCCACTTAACCCCATTGCCTAACCAAAAAAAAAAAAAGTTAAAGTTGTTGGTAAACCTAAGGCAGAACAAAGGTGCATAGCAGGCCTAAATATGCTGCTATACGTGAGATAGTAAGTTCAAAGACCTGGAAGGGACCTCAGAGGTCATCTAGTCCAGCCCTCTAATTTTAAGCCCAAAGTCGCACAACCAATTAAGGGGGAGTTGAATCTAGGTTTTCTCATTCTAAATGCAGCATTATTTTCTTTTGTAACACTGACATACAAGAAGTAGCATAAAAGGTATAACTGAGGAAATGTATGACTGAAAAAAATGAAAAAAAAAAACAAGAGCAAGGGATAATAGATGTACAAGTACTATATTGTGATGCAAGTCTTGCACTTAATGAAGACCTGGAAGGAAGTTTCCAGTACAATGTGTACATTCTCTATGAAGGGCCTATGGAAGGAAGGCCATAGATAAGAATCACAACATGAGAAGGCACAGATGAGCTATGATTTGCATTGATGAAAGGGTGTTACCCACATCACAGATCCCCTGAAGCATTACAATGTATTTTCCTATGTATTAAATGTACTTGATTCTAGAAACAGCTTTTAAAAATACCCAATCACATATTCACAGGGTAAATTGCCCAGGTTTTGTAATATTCAGCAAATAGATAATAATTAATTACATTGAGAAGAAATAAAACTATGTGTGTTCTGTGAGTTTAGTAGAAACAATAAACACATGAAAAATAAGCAGCGCCAATGACTATTCTGCTCCAAATAAATTCATATCATAAGTCTAGTGAAAAAAAAAAAGTCAGACCATCTGGGAACAATAGGTTCAAAAGGCTGTTCCTCCAAAATTAATCTGGCTAAGAATTTCACCCTACACTGACAAAGTCAGATGTGATTTCTGACTCTGACACACATGGATGCTATGTTGAGAATTTAGCTATTCATTTCAGACTAGAGCGACAGACCACCAAAGAGATGTGGCCAAATAATCCCACAATGGCTGAGGAAAGAACTCTAAGTGTAATAACTTACAGTGCTTCCTGCTGGTGATTCTCAGAGATGACCCAGGGCTTGCTGGTAGTACAGTGTAAGTTTCTTCCACACACTAATATCTTTATACTGAACAGGCTTCAGACAGCCCAGATAGAAAAATAAAAGGCATGTTCACAATTTTAAAACAGCAGTTTGTTTTTCTCTTCTCACCAATGAAAAGTCATAAACTATTTCTGAGTCTGTTATTTTTAACAGCTTGAGCCTGCTCATTCACAGGCATTCACCCATGAAATTATCCATGCTGCCTTTGGCTGAACTTTCCTTAGAAATCTCATATTCTCTTTTGTGCATAAAGCACCATGAAGGAAGTTGAAAATCTCTTGATTTACTTCAGATATCCTGTGTGTCTGCTTCAACTAATACCACATGATTAGTTTTCAAAAAACACTGGACCAAGATAGAGGCTGAGAAAACTGCACAGATTCTTAAGCCTCTCTATGGCTCAGCCGCCCAAACCAATGTAGAAGTGAACCTTTCTTAAAGAGGCCAATTATTATCAGTACACTCAGCTGAAGTTAAGTGTAAAATGAAGTTAGAATGCAATCTTGTTCACTGATGTTAAATGAAACAAATAAAACCACTGTTTCTGTGAAGACAACTAAGAAGCATTTTTTTTCTTCCAGGGTTATACACAAATGACGTGGAAAAAACAACAACAATGACAACAAAAAAAACCCAGCTTGTCATCACTAAGACTCAAGCAGCCAAGAGGCCAGGCTGAGGGCAGAATAAGGAACTGTTATGTCCTGTTTTCTTTTGATTCAGACCTCCTCTAGAAGCACACTGGGGCTAGGGCTGCTTTACTGACCTTGTCAAAGTGCTGCTGCAGACTGTACTTCACCTGCACCCTTTCAGCGGTCTCCAGGCCAGAGCCAGTGTTCAGACACCTAGTGAGTGTCCCAATTTCTTCTTCTGCATCCTCCCCAAGAAAAATTCGTTCATCTAAATTTCCTACAGATAAAACGTATTCCTCATAGGCCTTGTTGATGGCTTTGCTATTGAAGAGAAAGAAAGAAAGCAAACAGTCAGCAATGACCAACCTAGTCTTGGAGAAACCATGAGGAAACATACTTGCCTCCATTTTTTCCCCACTTAATAGTATTTTTATTTTTTTTCCAATTACATTTAAAGATAGTTTTCAACATTCACTTTTACAAGATTTTGAGTTTCAAATTTTTTTCCCTTCCTCCTTTCCCTCCTCCCCAAGATGGCATGCAATCAGATATAGGTTATACTTATACAATCCTATTAAACATATTTCCACACTACTCATGTTGTAAAAAAAGAATCAGAACAAAAGGGAAAAACCATGAGAAAGAAAAAACAATAAAAAGACAGAAAATATTAAGCTTCAATCTGCATTCAGAATCCATAGTTCTTTCTCTGGATGTGGATAGCACTTTCCATCACAAATCTTTTGGAATTGTCTTAGATCACTGTATTGCTGAGAAGAGCTAAGTTTGTCAAAGTTGGTCATCACACAATGTTGCTGTTACTGTTCTCTTGACTCTTTTCACTTCACTTGGCATCAGTTCATGTAAGTCTTTCCAGGTTTTTCTCAGTCCACCTGCTCATCATTTCTTATAGCACAATAGTATTCCTTTACATTCATATACCACAACTTGTTCAGCCATTCCCCAAATGATGGGTATCCCCTCAACGTTCAATTCTTTGCCATCACAAAAAGAGCTGCTATAAATATTTTTGTACATGTCAGTCCTTTTCCCTTTTTTATGATCTCTTTGGGATACAGATCTGGTACTGATATTGCTGGATCAAAGGGGATGTAGTTTTCTAGCCTTTTGGGCATAGGTCCAAATTGCTGTCTAGAATGGTTGGATCACATATGTGCTTCCTTTCAGTAGAGAAATGAAATTCTATGAGTGCAAAATGTTGCATATGCTACAAGATGTGTTCACTTTGTTGGTTTTGCTTTCCTGGTTTTTTTTTTTTTAGTTACAAGAGAGGATTCAATGGAGGAGAAGGATATAGATTAGGAAATGACAGTAGCATAAAAAAAGTCAATAAGTTTTAAAAAGGGAAAGGGCATAATTTCAGAGAATTGCTATTTCAATTAATGCTTTTAGACTAATCATTCCATTTTTTAACTAGCAGAATTGCAAATTCTTTTTTAAATTAATGTTTGATTTTAGTACGATCATGTCCATTTCTTAACATTGGGGTGAAAAATCAATGCTAATTATGTTTCTGTTCCTTTATCACATGTGATAGTCAGTATATGCTACTATACAGCTTTGTATTTACACTTAGCTTCCTATGAGAGGACCTCTAATGACTTCATTAAGTTCCTATAATTATTTTCTCAAGAGTAGATTTTTCCATGTGAATAGATTTTAGCATCTAACTATTATCCATAAGATCAACATAGTTTCATGGTATTCTTTTTCCCAAAACAAGATCACAGATTTTTAGCCAGAAGTGACCTCAGATGCCATTTAGTACACCCCACTCATTGTACAGATGAGGAAACTGAAGCATGAGCAAGGGTATTTGAAGAACCCAAATCCTCTGACTCCTGGGTCAAATGTTCTTTCCACTGTTCTATGCTAACTCCCCAAACTTTCTAACAAACAATAAAAAAGCATCTTAATATTTGGGGAGTAACAGGTAAAATTTTTACACTCTTTCCAAATCAAATTTGAAACCAGACAAATTAGTAACAGGCTGAATAAGCTTTTTTTGTCCATAAAGAATTACCTCTATTTTGCAGTTTTAAAAATATAATCTTTAAGTATCTGGTTATTTTATAACAAAAGCACTCACATACTATCTCCAAAGTTCCCTGGATCCAGAAATCCAGTAAGGTTTTCTTCTCTTCCTTTCAGAAGCTATGAAGAAACAAACAAAAAAAAGGTTACTCAATTCATCATATAAAATTTAGTTATTTGGCAGAATGTCTTTTCTCTTTCCTACACACCTTTTTTTCAAAAAGCTTTCTAATGTAAGGTTTCCAGAAATGTTCTTTTATTCCCTTTGCCTCTAAAACTAGGCCATCATGCAGGGCACAAAGTGGTTCAATGACACACGGTGGGTCAGAAGAAGGCTTGGAGTCCTTACTATGGAAATCTTCAGGCAGGCCTACAAAAGAGTCACAAGATAAATGTAGCTCTCAGTTAATATTAAAAGCAAGGTTTAAAAACATAAACAGGAATACTGGATACAGAACCTAACATAGCAACAAGGTGAGAAAGTACATAATAATAGTATAGGTCTAATCTATTTTTTTAGTTTAATTATCCATGAAAAATACTCAAATGGTCTTCAATTTTGAGAAACTCTGTTATACATTTGGAAATAGCAAGAAAAAATTATAATTACTACTACACGCACAACCAAGCTTAAAAAGGCCTAAACTATCAAAGCGTCATTTTATCTCTTGGTTTCCCATATCCTAACTGCTGAGCTATATTAGAGAGAAGAAATCTATAGCATTACAAAGCAAAATTAATGCTCTGAAAGATAATTATGATGTTCACTCAATGGAAACTTCTCAACACCCACTTAATTACTTGTTAACATTTATCTCATCAATTTACAGCTTCTTTTTGTCTTAGCTAAGCGACAGGAAAATAAAAGAGGAAGGAAAAGGAGTAAAGAGGAGCAAGAGGAAAACAAAGTTAATTGGGCATCCAAGAAGAAGAAGGGCGTGTGGAAGGAGAGGAAAGAGAAAAGAGGCAAAGGAGAAAAGAAGACAGATAGGGAGAGAAGATAGGAAAAGTAGAGAGAAATAAATGGGAGAGAAAGGGTGTAGAGGAGAAAGAAGGAAAATGTTAGAATGAATTATGAAGTTTGGTCAACTTAGACAACAAGCAACTCTTGTACCCAACTCTAACTTCCAATTTTGAGGTCAATAAAGCCATTAACCATGAAAGCTGAAAACCTGTCTGAGGCATTCCGGACAGTTATAAATCCACCATAATTCAACACGCTGTCATTCAAGGCAACAGAAACATCAAATACCAGCTCCAAGGCTGCCCTATTTGCTTTGTACATTATAATCTTAGTTTGTCTCAGTGTATCATTAAAGAACTTTGATGTCTTAAATTATACAGAAATTGTATACCTGAAGTCTGTCAAACACAGTATTTTATTAGTTTAATCATGAAAAAGATTATCTTACTGCTTTATATTATAATCCCTCTCTTTGAGTCGCAGATTTTAAATCTCTAGGGTCAGGGTCACTAGCAGAGGAGACAGCATTGCTGTGCACAAATCAGCTCTGCTTCCCACCTTTTCTAAAAGCCTTCTGCTCTGGAGCTCATCATCACAGACCCTAAATCTCACGTTATTTGTCAACATAATCTAGAAAATTTCTCCACAAACCTGATTCCCATTTATTAAATAATTAAAAGCATTTTAGTAACTATGGAACAAGACTTTTTGAGACTTATGTATGCTAATCAAAAGAAAACTGTTCTCTACAATTACAATTTACTTACAAGGTTGTACAGCCAGATAATCTCCCATTAACACACCTACCTTTAAAATTTGGATTTAGAAGTTCTTTACGATTAGAGCACTGAAGGGCATTTCCATATACTAGATCCAAAGCACACAGCAAAAGGTGATAAGAATTGACCAAGTCATCACTGATCATTGGGAAATTACCTACAGAATTGTAATATTCACAGAGTCAAATTTAAATAAATCTTGAGATATTCGTCCCATTATATAAAGCTTGCACTTACAGATTAAATAGGATTTTACAGTTGTAAATTGATTTCTTAAAAAAAAACTCCACTAAATATGCTTTTCATTCATTCAATGTTCAGTCAATGATTTATTAATTACCTACTGATTACCTAGGGTTTTATCATTAAATTTTATTCTGTAAGTTTTCTATATTAAAAACTTATCTTTAAAAGATATCTCAAACCTTAGGAACATTACTTCTATGGAAAAGTACACTTCTATAATGAAAATGATATAAATCCACAATAGTGCAAACTGCTTGGGAGTAAATGACTAAGAAATGTATACACACAATGAAAAAAAAATCAGTGCCTACTTTTCATTATAAATTAAGATAGGCATACCGCAAACCATCATAATTTGGGCAATATTTCACCCTCTACAAGTATAAATGACTTTGTATCTCAGTTAATTTGTAATTACAAATTATTATAAATTACTACAAATTAATGCAATATATGCAGGCACAACTTAAGATTTTTAAGCTCTAGAACTAAAAGTTCTAAACCTATTTGAATTGCAGTATACTAAAGGTAACATATCTAGGAAGAAAAAAATAACACAGTGACTTAAAATGATTAGGGAGTAAAAGCAAATATATGCCAAAAATAATTATTCAGTTATTTTATAACAAAATCACAAAAAACCCCAAAAACTTAACAGAAATATGTAATGATGGAAGAATATGGATATTTAGAAACTAGCTTTTTATTTGAAGTCTGAGCATCTATTATCCTTAAGATAGGTAAAATTTTAAGACTTTTCATAACTAAGAACATCGATAATATGTTTTTAGGCTAAATATTATATTCACATAAGCCTTCCAATCTTTCACATTCTCTATTTTATTTTAATATGCCTCATGGACTAATTTTAAGACATCTAACTTGTAGGAAACTTAAAGACATCTTACGAATTGTTTCTAAAATGGTCAAGATAATTCCTCAAGAATTTCACATACCTAGTTCTTAAAAAGCGGTTAAAACCCTGAACATTTCTATCTTGGGTTTTTTTATTCCTTATTTGTCTACTTATCTCATGTGTCCCCCCACCCCTACCCCACCCCCATACCTCCCTCCCCCAAGAAAAGACAATCATTTACCTTGGATAAATAATTCTTAGCTTCACTTTAAATGAAATATTCAACAAATTAATGCAGATGAATTAAAGGAAAAAAATAATTAACATTCCTCTTCTTTTTGTCAGAAATGTGAACCATAGTTACTATCTAAGATTTGCAGCACTATTACCTAAGATTTAATCATGTAAGCAAACCTAAGCCACCCTACACCACTGAAAAGAGGTCAAAATGAAAATCTGCTCAACTCTTTGAATGTAAAACAGGAAATTGTACTCATTGGTCTTCAAGCTACAAAGCCTGATACAAAACAAGCCCAAACTTGTCACTGGGGCATGGTTGCCATGATAAGGAAGCAAAGACTGTCACCACTCAAAGGAAACAAGTTTGTAACATAAGCTTCAATGCTTCTAAAAGTCAAAAAATAATTTTAACTCCTAGGCTGCCCAACTTTGAAATACTTTCTACCTTGCCTCTAAATTGTGACATTACAAATAAACATGACCTGGGAGACCATATTAAAAAGAATCCATACAATGGCAACAGGAAAATGAAAATTTGTCAAATATTAAAAGGGCTCTCCTACATCCCAAGAGAAATAATTCTATATAGCTTTATACCAAATAGAATGTGTGTCTGTTTGAAAGCAAAGGTGCACTCCAAACTGTAGAGCAGTGCTTTACTAGAACACAGCAGCCATGTAGAACAAGCCGAAGGCTGAGCTATAAGAATGGCTTAGAAGCTTATACCTGGCACTAGTCTTCCTTAAAATTTCTGACCAATGCAATGGAAACAGTCATCTTTATTGTGGCCACAGAAGTGAGCTCTGGTAGAAGGAGAATGGACTGGGAGTAAAGACCCCTTGGTTCAAGTCCAAAGTCCAAGCTCTGCTTTTAACTAACCAGCTGTATAAACATCTAACTATGCTCTCTAAGTCTCATTTTTTTCATGTGCAACATGAGAGGAGTGCACTAGATACCGAATAATACTGAGTTATACTTCCATCTGAAGTCTCTTTGGACTTTATTATTTTTAAGTTGTAACTGTATCAAGGCAGCTCAGTGGCAAAGGAAGCTCAAGCTGTAACAAATAAGCTATGTAGCTCAGTACACTTTCTTTTCTAAAGGAGAGGGCTTCTGACAACAGTCAACTCTTTTCAGAACTATAAAGAGCCTGAAATTCTGTGGAGATACACTTTATGAAAAGCAGACTTATGGCAGCTAGGTAAGTAAGGTGGGGAAGAAAAGCAATTGTCCAAAGTTTAAATGATATACTTGCCTGAACAAGTTGTAACTAATCTAAATTCAATCAGAAACTATCCTCACTGAGTCTCCCTCACCCCCAAAGAACGAAAAAACACATAGCTGAGTCTGTAATCCTTTAAGCATGTAACGAATAAAGTATATTTCCAGTGAACAACTCAATACCTTAGCTTTGAAAAATAGTTCATACAGAACAAGATGCTCCAACTACTTATAGGACAGATTCAGTTAGGGATATTTAATGAAAAGAAATCTGGACGTAGGAAATTCACAGAAACCATGTGAATGTTTATAGATTAGCAGTAATGAAAAGAAATTTGAAGTTAGACTCCTTTAGAATCACTTCAAAGTTAACACTGATATACAGGTACTTCAGGTTTACAAAGTCAGTACCTAAAACATCCTGATGGTCCACAAGTGTGCAGACTGAAATTTGAAGTATTAAGTAAATTCATAACATCAAATTCTCTTAACATAACATCAAGTTCTCTTACCTTTTGCATACACAAAGAGTACCCAACAAAACTGGAAAACTTCTGAGACTGTACACGGTTGCCGCCTTGGAGGAGGGGAAAGCCATGAGAATTAGAAATGACTTCTCAGAGTGACACAAATCAAGAACCAAAAACTCACAATTGAGTTCAACAGTCTTGTATTCTATTTTACACGGAAAACTAGAAGGGACCTTGTCTTTCTGATACGAATTCCTGTTCTGTCCAGATATTAGCAGGGATATGCAAAAGCTGGGGAAATATACTTCAGAGAGAAATGCTGAAATGTAAGTGTTTAGAGGGCACAGAAAATATGATTAAGCAGGCATTTCTTAAAATGACACCAATCAAACTATACAGAAAATGCTGAAAACCTGCTCTACATTGTGCCCTACTCCTACTATAGAACTATTTTTTCCCTGTCCCTGTAAGAATTTCCCATGTCTTTAAACTCTATTTCCCACCTTTTAATGCATATTCAATGTGCTTTGGTATGCCAACTAAGAAAGGGCATTCAGAAGAGGAGTTTTAGGCCTCTTTTTAATTTATGGCTTCCTGATCAGGTATCTGTCAACACTTAGGCAAGTTAGCTGATCTCAACGACTTAATCTAGCCCTGTGAAAGGAAGAGCACTGTTTTAAGCATTAGCAGACTTGAGTTTTAGTCTCAGCTCTGTCAATAACTACTGTGTCCAATAAACCTACCCTACTTAACTCACAGGGATACTGTGAGGATCAAATGGCATAACACTTCATTGCTTTAAAATATACTTGGTAAACCTGCAAATTTTATTTATTTGATTATCTATTAACTCTAAAATTATTTAACTCCACAATCTGGCCTAAACCTAGTTCATCATCTCCTTACCGCATTTCCTGCTATCTGCTCTTCTCCCCAACCCCAACTCCTACACTCTGCTAGAGAAACATTATAAGAAGGAGAACCCAGGAGATACTGCAGAAGGTCAGGGGAGCTAAATTCTCAGAAAAGACACTAGGTAGAAAATTTCTGTGGGTAAAGTCTAGGGGATACTAACAAAAGTGAGCCATTAGGTGCCAAGGGAGTAGATGTGAAGTTCAGACAGAACAGGACCTTTCTCAAGAGCACTGGGAAGCTGAGACAGACAAGAAGATGGAGGAAGAGAGGTGGAGACAGAGAAGGAGAGAGGTAGAGAAATGACTCCTGTATGGCAGAAACGTAATGAACTAGCATAATAATCCCAAAGGTCAGAGCTAGAGCAAAAGAAGCTTGATGGTAGGAAGAACAAAATGGGGAGGGCCAAGAAGTGATTAATGATTTAAATACATGCCAAACAAAATACTCTGAGAGAACGTGCCCTTACATAGCTTGTACCCACAGATCACCTTGCTGTATGTTATAAAGCAGTGTTGGGAACTTTATATCAGCTGACTCTACGTCCTATATCTACTAAAAGGATACTGGCTGGGAATAGGCACATCTGAAGGAGAAGGAGCCAAACTCCTAGGAAGGAGTTCAACACTCAGTTTCTCAACTCACTCATCACTCCTTCTTCTTGAAATCTGACATCTTGAATCCTGATGACTGCACTGAAATTCTTCTCTAAGTTTAGCAACAACCTGTTAGCTCCTACGCTGATAACCTTTTCCCAGTTCTCTTCTTCCTGACCTCTCTGCAGCATCTGAGACGCTGTGGCCCATCCATTTCTTTCTCTTGGCTTTCGTGACACTATTCTCCCCAGATTCTCCCTCAGACCCCTTTGCTGGGTCATCTTCCATCTCCCACCCTTTTAGCCTGCAGTGTGTTGCAGACCCTTTCCTCTTCTTGTGTATGTTCTTCTTTGGCAACCCTCTCTGTTTCCATGGGCTCAAGTATCAACTATACACAAATAATTCTCAAATGCATATATCCTGTCTTAATTCCTCTTTGGGAATTGCAGCACCACATCATCTGCCTACTGCACATCTCATCCTGAATTTCCCATCAACTTCTCAAATTCAATATGCTTAAAACACCTCATTTTCCCCATTAAAACTGTCCCCCTCCAAACTTCCCTATTTCTCTTAATGGCACACCATTCTCCCAGTCACCCAGATTTGCAACATCAGAGGAATCCTTGACTTTTCTCTTTCCTCACGCCTCCCATGTTCCATAAGTTGTCAATTCTATTGCCGTATCATCTTGAATTTGTTCCCAAATACAGGTGCTCATCACCTAGCAACTGTTTTACTATAACACCTTCCTAATTAGTCTCCCATATTCCAATTTTTCCCTCTCCAACTTAACCTGCACACAGCTACCAAGATAATCTTCCAAAGGCATAGGTCTGACCATGCTACTCTCTGCTCAAAAACTTTCAGGTGGCTCCCTATGATCTATATGATAGAGTACAAATTTCTGAGCCTAACTTTTGAAGATCTCCACAATATGGCTCTCATCTTCCCAGGCTTACTTCACATTACTCTCCTTCACAAATCCTATATTCCATCAAACTGGCCCATGTTGTGTTCCCTGAACTTGACCCTAAATTTCCTGCCAGGACTTCCACATAACCCATCCCCCCACCTGGAACGGGAAGCCTCTTCACCTCTATCTCTCAGAGTCTTGTCTTTCTTTAGTGTTCAGCTCCAGTGCCATCTCCTCAATGAAGCTCTTTCTGATTCTCTGTTATCAGTGCTACCTCCCTTCCTCAGTTTTTATTTGTATACTTTCTGTATCTCCTCCTGTCCCCAGAGACCATAAGCTCCCTGAGGGCTCACAGAGAATTTTATTTTCATCTTTGTATCCCCAATGCCTAGCACTGTGCCCTATACATAGCAGGCAATTAATAAATGCTTGTTAAATTGAATTGGGCTACTTCTTTAATGTTCTGAGAGCCAGCAGAAAGCTACCCAGAGAAGTGGTGACTGAAAGACAGCTGAGGAACCTTCTGTTTGAGAGCTACTTTGAGAGCATATGTTTAATAAACTAAGGAACTTGAGGCTGGAAACTGCTTGCTGACTACTCATATAGCAGAAGTCGTATCTTGCTACAGATCAGTGGATAAAGAGGAGACCTGTGGCCAAGGGAGCTTTAGATCCATTGTCCTAAGGGAGAACTATGGTGAGGACTTGTGAGGGTAGTGGAGGGAAGCAGCTGCAGGGCTATCAAACTTCTATGCAGATAGGAATCTAAATGGCTTAGACTGGAAGTAGGAAATGTAAACATTCCCAATTTTATCAGCCACAGCAGAGGCACAAACTAAGAGCAGACAGATGTTGTGTTAATAGTAACTGGCATGCCTCCATAACAAAAAAATCATTGTTTATTTTGTTTGACTCAACTTAGCAGTGTCATGTTTATAATGCTTTCAATCCTCTTGAAAAGTATATTGCCACAGCAATTGGTTTTTAAATGTGTATTCAAATGCTTTGTCTTATTCTTGCCCATATGTTCAAAGATGCAGACTTTTGCTTTAGAGATAGTAAAATAAGATCCTGTTAATGGTTGGGTAATAATGGTAGAATTAGCTTTTCTTCTTTGCATAAAAAGACTCCCAAAATACTAGTTGTGTGATCATGGATAAGTAACTTTTCCTCTCTGAGTCTAACTCTCTTCATCTGTAAAAGGGAGTTAATTGTATTTATATTATTTATCTCACAAAATAGTTATAAAACACAAATGAGAAAATATAAGAAAGTACTCTATAAACTGTGTAAGTACAAACATAAAGAATGATTATGACAAAATAAATGAGCACAATGTTGTCCAATTTAGGAGGGAAAAATCAATTTAAACTTTTGAAGACAGAGAATGAAATAGAACTAATGCATGCCTCCTCAGGACAGAAAACTTCTTATTTTTGGTTAACAAACACAAAGTCCTACCGGTACTTTCGTCCTCTCTGTTGACAAGGTGGCTCCTCTTGAGAATATCGAAAAATGTCCTGAAAGATGGGTTCATACTTCTTAAAAATCACAGCAGACACTGTGAAATTTCTCTCTAGTCTTTCAGTACGTTCTCTGAATCGTGAGGGTAGATTTGCCATATCCTCCCACTTCTTCATCTTGTTAAAAAATTCAATTAAACTGGTTTTTAAAAGAAAAAAAAACATTCATAAATTAACTAGCGTAACTTTTAAAAAATGATATTACTTCTTACTATATCCGAATATTGATATAGATCCCAATTCAAAAGGCACTTAACAACAGCCATGAATTAATTCTAAATAGGCAGTTAGTTATATTTTTGTATTTGTGGATACAGAATTCTAACAGTGCTAACCACTGTCTTCAGAATTTAAAATCTTAATCCATGGTATGTACATAACATCTGGTTAGGTTCATCTCTAACAACTATCTGGAAGTCTTCCTTAATAAATCTTGAGGAAAAACAACAATAACAAACAAAAACAACTCTGGCTTATTGGTTTTAAAAAGAGAAAGAGAAACTAAAAACTCAAATTTAACAAAAAGAATACTATAGGGTGGAATTTAGATGTTTCTAACTAACATATGTACTAGGTATAAAGAGACAGTGTGGCATATTGGATAAAGGACTTGCCTTGAAGTCAAGAAGATCTGAGTTCAAGTCTTGCCTCTGATATACTAGCTATGTGACCAGAGGCAAGTCACTTGCTGGTACAGGAGACAACTCTTTAAGACTATAAGTTATACAAGAGTTGCTGATCTGCATTGGTAGAGGAAGGTTCTGTAATATCAGCTCACTATACTAATGAAATCACTGGTCCATACTTAAAAACAACAACAACAACAACAACAACAACAAAACTCAAAAAACCCAAACAGTATTTTTTAAATCACCAAACAGGCTAAACTATCTATAATTAACTACTTATAATCATTTCAATGATACCCAAATAAAAGCAGCAATTAACATTCATTCACATATATGTATAATACATATATGCACACATGTTCACATAGATATTTATATACATATACACATTCATATTTATACATGAGCACACACACACATAAATACTGCACAGAGTTATATGACTACTACCAAATACATTTAATTTCTAAGCGAGGGTTTCTCTTACAGTTTCTCAAATTGCTATGAAGAACCACAATATTATCTTTCAATATGATCATGATTAACTGGATTTGAAAAAATATTTGGCTATAATTGACAGAAAGATCTCTCTCACAGTTATGATATATTCAAATAATTTAAGTATGCTCCTTCCCAATATACCAACTGACAAATTATGGCATAAGGCAAAGGCTAAATTACTACCTCTTCCTAATATTCAGTACTCTAGGCAAACAGCTGTTAATTTAGAAGAGATTCTTGACTTTTTTTGTGTCATGGGCTTTTTTGAAAATCCAGTAGAGCCTACGGACCCCTTCTCAGAAAAACATTAAAGTAAAAGTAAAAATTAAAGTAATTGAAGGACAGATAGCAGAGTGGATCAAAAACCAGAAGCCTACAATATGTTGTTTACAAGAAACACACTTGAAGAAGACAGACACACAGAATAAAGGTAAGGGTTTAGAGCAGAATCTATTGTGCTTCAACTGAAATTTAAAAAGTAGGGGTAGCAATCCTGATCTCAGACAAAGTAAAAGTAAAACTAGACCTAATTTAAAGAGACAAAGAAGAAAACTACATCATGCTAAAAGTTACCATATTCAATGAAGCAATATCAATTCTAAACATATATGCACATATCCAAATTCTTAAAGGAAAAGTTAAGTGAATTACAGGAAAAAACAGACAGCAAAACTATACTAGTAGGGGCAGCTAGGTGGTGCAGTGGATAGAGAACCAGCCCTGGAGTCAGACAGACCTGAGTTCAAATCTGGCCTCACACACTTGACACTTACTAGCTGTGTGACCTTGGGCAAGTCACTTAACCCCATTGCCGGGGGGGGGAAGCTATACTAATGGGGGACCTAAACTGTCCCTTCTCAGAACTTGATAAATCCAACCAAAAAATAAACAAGAAAGAAACTAAGGAGGTAAACAGAATATTAGAAAAGTTAGATATGACAGACCTTTGGAGGACACTGAATGGGAACAGAAGGGAATATACATTTTTCTCAGCATCACATGGCACCTACACAAAAATCAACCAGGTGGTAGGGTATAAAAACCTCAAAATCAAATGCAGAAAGACAGAAATATCAAATGTATCCTTTTTGGATCATAAGGCAATAAAATGACACTCAATAAAGAGCAGTGGAAAGATAAAACTAAAAATTAATTAGAAACTAAATAATCTAATCCTTAAGAATGAGTGGGTCAAAGAATAAATTGCAGAAACAATAAAAAAAGATCTCATTAAAGAAAATGGCAACAATGAGACAACATACCAAAATTTATAGGACGGAGCCAAAGCAGTACTTAGGGGAAATTTTCTTTCTGTAAATTCTTATATCAACAAAATGAAAAAAAAAAAAAGAAAATATCAATGAATTGGGCATGCAACTAAAAAAATTAGAAAAAGAACAAATTAAAAATTCCCAATTGAGCACCAAATTGGAAATCCTAAAAATCAAAGGCAAGATTAGTAAGACTGAAAATTTTAAAAAAAGGAAAACAAACTATTGAGCTCATAAATAAATCTAGGAGCTGGTTTTATGAAAAACAAACAAACAAACAACCCAGTAAGACAGACAAGCCATTGGTTAATTTGATTTAAAAAAAAAGAAAGAAAATCAAAATCCAATATAAAAAATGAAAAGGGTGATATCATCACCAATGAAGAAGAAATTAAAGCCATCATTAGGAAATATTTTGCCCAATTATATGCCAAAAAAATCTAACAATCTGAGTGAAATCAATGAATATTTATGAAAATATCAGGAAACAGAATGCCTTAATAATCCCCTCTTAGAAAAAGAAATTGAAGAAGCCACTAATGAACTCCCTAGGAAAAAATCACCAGGACCAGATGGGTGCATGAGTAAATTCTACTAAATATTTAAAGAACAATTAATTATAATACTATATAAACTATTTGCAAAAATAGGCAAAGAAGGAGTCCTACCAAACTCCTTTTATGACACAAATATGGTGCTGATACCTAAACCAAGAAAAGTGAAAATGGAGAAAGAAAATTATAGAACAATTTCCCTAATGAATATTGATGCAAAAATTCGAACAAAATACTAGCAAGGCAATTACAGCAATATATCACAAGGATTATACACTATGACCAGGTGGGATTTAACCAGGAATGCAGGGTTGGTTCAATATTAGGAAAACTATCGACATAGATGGCCATATCAATAACAAAACCAACAGAAATCATATGATTATCTCAACTGATGCTGAAAAAGTTTTGATGAAATATAGCACCCATTCCTATTAAAAACAGTAGAGAGCACAGGAATAAAGGGAGTGTTCCTTAAAATAATAAGCAATATGTATCTAAAACCATCAGCAAGCATTATCTGTAGGAGGGATAAGCTAGAAGCCTTTCCAATAAAGTCAGGGTGAAGCAAGGATCCCCATTATCACCACTATCATTCAACACAGCAATAGAAATGCCACCTTTAGCAATAAGAGAAGAAAAAGAAATTGAAGGAATTAGAATAGGCAATGAGGAAACAAAACTATCACTCTTTGCAGATGATATGATGGTACACTTAGAGAACTCTAGAGAATCAACTAAAAAATTACTTGAAATAATTAAAAAATTTAGCCAAGTTACAAGATATAACCTCACATAAATCATCAGCATTTCTTTATATGACCAACAAAGCCCAGCAGCAAGATATAGAAAGAGAAATTCCATTTAAGATAACTCTAAACAATATAAAATACTTGGGAGTCTACCTGCCGAAACAAACCCAGGAACTACACGAACACAATTACAAAATGCTATTCACACAAATAAAGTCAGATCTAAACAACTGGAAAAATATAAATTACCCATGGGTAGGCCTAGTCAATATAATAAAAATGACAATTCTGCCTAAATTAATTTTGTTATTCAGTGCCACGCCAATCAAACTACCAAAAAGTTATTTTATAGAGCTAGAAAAAATAATAACAAAATTAATCTGGAAGAACAAAAAGATCAAGACTATCAAGAGAATTAATGAAAAAAAAAATGCAAAGGAAGATAGCCTAGCAATAACAGATCTCAAACTGTATTATAAAACAGTAGTCATCAAAACTATCTAGTACTGGCTAAGAAATAGAGTGGTGGATCAGTGGAATAGATTAGATACACAAGATTCAGTAGTCAATAACCATATTAACCTAGTGTTTGATAAACCCAAAGACCCCAGTTTCTGGTATAAGAACCCACTATTTGACAAAAACTGCTGGGAAAACTAGAAAACAATATGGCAGAAACTAGATATAGGCCAACATCTTACACCATATACCAAGATAAGGTAAAAATGGGTACATGATTTAAAAATAAAGGCCAATACCACAAGCAAATTAGGAGAACAACGAATACTGTCAGATCTATGGAGAAGAATTTGTGACCAAGAAAAAATAAAGAGCATTATAAAGTGTAAAAATGGACAATTTTGATTATATTAAAAAGGTTTGCACAAACAAAACCAATGCAACCAAGATTAGAAGGAAAGCAGAAAGCTAAGAAACAATTTTTACAGTAAGTATCTCTAATAAAGGCTTCATTTCTCAAATATATAGAGAACTGAGTTAAATTTGTAAGAATACAAGCCACTCCCCAACAATAAATGGTCAAAGGATATGAACTGGCAGTTTTCAGATGAAGAAATCAAAGCTGCCTATAGGCACATGAAGAAGTGCTCTAAATGACTTTTGATTAGAAAGATGCAAATAAAAAGAACTCTGAGGTACCACCTTATGTTTATTAGATTGGCTAATATGACAAAAAAGGAAAACAGTAAATCTTAGCGAGGATGTGGGAAAACGGACACTAATGCACTGCTGGTGGAGTTGTGAACTGATCCAACCATTCTGGACAGCAATTTAGAACTACACCCAAAGGGCAACCAAACTGTGCATACCCTTTGATCCAGCAATACCACTACCAGACCTGTATCCCAAAGAGATCATAAAAGAGGGGAAAAGACCTACATATGCAAAAATATTTATAGCAGCTCTTTTGTGGTGGCAAAGAATTGGAAATTGGGATACCTATCAATTGGGGAATGGCTGAACAAGGTGAATACAATATATGAATGTAATGGAACACTATTGTGCTATAAGAAATGAGGAGCAGGCAGATTTCAGAAAAACTTGGAAAAGCTTACACAAACTGATGCAAAGTGAAATGAGCAGAACCAGGAAAACACCGTACACAGTATCAGCAACATTGTGCGCTTATCAACTATGAATGACTCAGCTCTTCTCAGCAACACAATGATCCAAGACAACTACAAAAGACTCACAAAGGAAAATGCTATCCCAACATCCAGATAAAGAGCTGATGGCCTCTGACTGCAGATTTAAGCACAGTTTTTGCCCATACTCTATTCTTTTTCGTGTTTTTTTTTCCTTTTGATGTTTCTTCTTTCACAATTGTGACTAATATGGAAATATGTTTTACATGATAGCACATGTATAACCTATGTCAAATTGCCTACCATTTTCAGAAGAGGGGAAGGGAGGAAAGGAGATAGGGAGAAAAATCTGGAACTCAAAATATTATAAAAATGAATGCTAAAAATTGTCTTGACATGTAATTGGAAAAAAAATGAAATACTATTAAAATAATTGAAGAAAATGCTAAATTTCAATTTCAAATTTCAAGGTTAGTGAAAACAAAGATGTAAATTTTTTTTCTAATCTAAGTTCATGGACTCCATGAAATCTATCTATGGATCCTGGATTAAGAATTCCTGGTCTGTTATTACTCTGATTAATGGGCTTTTATATAAATCATACTCTATTTCTACACTTAATATATCTAATATATAGATTACCTCTGCTCCGAACATCGCAGAATTCTGGTTAAGGAGACATAGTTCCCTTCTACTGTCCCTTTGCTTACAGTGGGAACAGATTTTCTGCAAGCCACATATAAGGCACATGCTAACCAATGTAGATCATTTCCCTGTAAAATAAAACAAAATTAAGTTGCTATTAACAAATCAAATATAAGAAATTTCAAGTCAGAATTTAAACTCTATCCTTGCTTAAATATAATCATTTTGCTCACAATTAGAAAATGCACATTAAGTCAAATTAAGCTTGAATTAAGAATGATGCCTAGTCCAATCTCCTAATTTATAGATGAGAAGACTGAGGCCGAGAGAGAATAAGAAATCTGTACATGGTCACATAGGTGGCAGAGCCAGGATTTGTACCCAAGTCCTCTAAGTATAAATATAGGTGTACCATGCTGCTTCTGAAGACATTGGTGGCTCCATTGACATTCCCCTCCATAGTCATGTTCGAGGGAAGAAAAACAGTGCTTAATTTCCAAAGCCCATATGTGCCTTACATAGATATCCTATACTCCCCTCATGATGAAAAGTCTAAATGCCTGGAAATCAAATGAAATCTTTTCCCCCAGGAGCACCTTCACAGTTGTCTTCAAAAACTATAAGAATGTCCTTCTTCCTGATGAGGGTAGGCCTAGAAGATGCTCAAGCAAATTGCTTAGACAGCATTTAGTAGTCTTTCTAATCAAAACAGAAGGAAAAGGGCATTGTTGTCCTTTCTTCATACTTTACACTGAACACTAACTTAATGGATTAGGGTGGGGATTCCTTATCTTTTTTGTGTCATGGACCCCTTTGGCAGTCTGGTGAAACCTATGGACTCCTCAGAATCAGAAGTCTATAGACCCTGCACAAAACGAAATATAGGGAAATGAAATATACAGAATTACCAAGAAAATAAATTGTATTGAAATAAAGTTATCTATCTATACTCTTTTTTTTTAGGCAATTGGGGTTAAGTGACTTGCCCAGGGTCACACAGCTAGTAAGTGTCTGGTCTGATGCTGGATTTGAACTCAGGTCCTCCTGACTTTAAGGCCTGTGCTCTATCCACTGCGCCACCTAGGTGCCCTTTCAAAGTCTATTTTTTAAAAAAGCTCATGGACTCCAAGTTTAAAATACCTGGTTTAGGGAAAACAGGGAACCATCACAATCCAAGCAAGAAACAGCTGTTGTCCTCATTACCAAAAGTCATATAATTTGTGTAGATTGACAGACTGAAGCCTAAAATTTTGTACTAAACAAGCTGAGCTTTATTTTCCAATTTTCAATGTGGTATTTACTATGCTACATTTGTTTCCAAATAGAACATATACGGCTGCATAATACTGGGCAAATGTGGTCTCTCAAACCGAAACTGGGATTATATAAAAAGTAGCACAGAGAAGACTGAGATAAACTGATGAGACAAGTGTTTCTTAACGTCACCAAAACAAAATACTCTTTCGTCTGTAAGAGGTATAGAAATGAGGATTCAAGTCAATATTCCATTAAAAGCCTAGATTCTCAGTAAGGAGAATTTACTTGATGTTTTCCTGAATATCAGGTATATTAGAATACAATAGCCAAACATCTGATAATGCATAAATATTTCTGGATGTTTTTCATTGGTCTGTGAAAAGGTACCAGCAGAATTTACCATTACTGGATAGAGAAGGAAATTCCAGTTTGCAAGTGAAGAAGATATGACCACAATATAGTCATTGTGTCAATACTTGGGGAAGGTAAGAAACATTGTGTCAAATTAACAGGGTTTATAAAAGAGCTGTACAGTTCCTTTGAGTTTTGCAATTCCTCAAAGGCTCTCTCTTATCCAAAAGCATGACTGACATGCTTTCCACATGGTTTGAACTAGTCCTGAGTGGTCATGCAATTATTTGTATTTCAATTTAATTTAAGAGCACTGCCCTAAGTGTGAAGGGAGATACAAAGTTTGTTGAAGACAGTCCCTGCCCTCATGAAATCTACAATTTACTGAGGGATATGAGACACACACACCTCTCAGCTCTGCAACTTTCTAGCATTGTAATTCAGGCAAGTTACTTGGTCTCACTGAGCGTTTCCTCATCTAGAGAATGGGGATAATACTTTACCTATTTCACTGAATCACCAGAAAAGTGCTTTGTAAACCTTAACATTACCATGGAAGTGTTTTGGGTTTCTTTTTCTTTCTTTCTTTTTCCTTTTTTTTTTTTACAAATAATTATGAAATGAAATAATAGATGATAAATGACTGGATGACCACTTGTTAGCATACTTAAGAATGTGGTGTTGTTCAGGTACTAGATTAATAAGATTTTGAGGTGAAAAGAATCTTAGATAGGGGTCGCTCTCAATGATTTCAAAAGTCCCTTCCTCTTCTAAATTTTAGCTCTTGTAACTCCAAGTTCAGCAATCGTTCAACTATACCACCTTGGTCCTATCTTAGCAGAGTAGGGAATGAAATCTTATTATCTTTCAAGAAAAAGAAAACACCACTTAGGTTAGGGGGCTAAACTATCTGACACTTTCCAATAAAGTTAATGTAGGACCAGGACTTAGTACTATTAATCATCCCTCAAGTCAGAAAGAACTGTATTCAAGGAATAGGCCCCTATAAAAATAATTAATAATGGCCCACATTCCCTTCATTTCCCACACAGATGACCGCCGGGATTTCCTAATCTCAGAAACCCGTCATTCTGCAAGATGAAATCAGCTCTGAAACTCACACCTCCTGGCATCATTTCCCACCCCAGCTGCAGCCGTTCCTCATGGCCCCAGCCAGATGACACTTCCCTCCCGCCTTTGCACTTTTTTAGGTGTTGTCTCGCTCTGTGGATTGGGCGTTCAGGGTTTATTTTATAGCTTTCTTTGTCTCCCCAGCGCTTAGCACAGGGCTTGACACACAGTCGGCATTTACTAAATGTTCATGCACTACTGAGATGATCTAATCCGACAGGTGAGCAACACAGGGTCGGGGAGGTGATGGCGCAGGGTCGCGCAGTGCTCCAACCTTGGCACAAAGAAAGCCCCAGGACCCGCCTTCCTTTAACGCCCCCTCCCCACAGAGGGGCCTTTCCCGCTCCACCGCAAACAGCACCTCCCGCGGAGGCGGGGGTCGGGGACGGCGACGTCGCCCTGCGTGTGCGTGCGTGGGCACGGCGACCGCAGGGGGCGGGCACTCCGCCCCGAGGGGCGGCGGCCAGGCCCGAAATCCGGCCGCGGCTCGGCCCCAGGCCCGCCCGTCCCTCCCTCGATGCGGGCGCACCTCCAGCGTGTAGCTTTGGCTCATGCTCCGATAGCTCTCCCAGGCCTCGGCCCGCGCCTCCTCGTCCATATTGAGGCGCCCGCAGAGCTCGTCAAACCGCTGGCGCGTCTGAGGCGCCGGCGTCTGCACGGCAGGCCCGCCGCGCTCTCCCCCGGCTTCCTCCCCGCCGGCCTCCGTCGGCGCTTCCTCTTCCGCGCCGTCGTCCTCCTCCTCTTCAGAGGCCGCCGCCGGCGGAGGCGGCTGGTCGGCCCCTGCTGGCATGGCGCTCAGCTCCGCGGCGGCCGCTTCTCAGGCGAGCGGGCGACCCCGGCCCGGAGCCATTCAAACCGCGAAGCGCCCGCCCGCCCGGCTGCCCGCACCGCGCCTGCGCCGCCAACGGTTACGTGGCCGCTCCGGCCGCCGTCATTGCGAACGCGGCCTCCTGGAAGCTGTAGTCCACGTCGGGTGCCCACGAGGGACAGAAAACCCATTTTGTGTCTTCGGCGGAGTTGCTTGGGTTCCTAGGAATTTTCGAGTTGGGAGCGGCTTCTCAGGCATTTAAACCTCCGCTTTTATTTTGCAGTGGAGGTGATCGGATGTGCGGACCCCGGGGCCAGGTGCCACGTTTAGCTAGGAACGAGAGGTTGGGGGTACCCAGAGCTTCCCACCCCATTCTCTCTTAGGGCCCGCGGTAGAACGATTTCTTTTTAACAAAAGGAGAAACTGAAACAACAAGAGCTTGTTAGAACTGTAAGACATACCGTGTTAAAACAGTGAAGGAAACAGGTTCAGGTAGAGTGACTTATCCAAGGTCACGCCGCCAGGTGCCTCCATAATAGGGACTGCTGCTCAGAGCTTCTCATTCCCAACAGGGTCTTTTTCCCTTCGATGCTCTGTCTACACTGGTAGTCTCATTCTTCCATCACAGGAGTGGAAAGTTAGGGCAGGAAATCTGGAGGCCCGCATTCTTGTCCCCACTCCATATACTTTCCAGCTGTGTGAGACTCCTCGGGGTGGGCCTCAGTTTGGTCATCTGTTAAATAAAATAAGACACGTGTCTGGCTGGGGATTCCTTGAACAAATTGAACGTAATGGAATATTATTGTGCCATAAGAAATCAAGAATGATATGGAAATGGGAGATTGAAAGAAATGTGACATGCAGAATAAAGAAAGGAGAATCTAAAGATATAAATGTAGAACTACCACTATGTAAAAAATTGGCAGCAAAATTTGAAAAAAGTATATTGATCAGAAAGGGTCACAAAAGCAAATAGGGCATTTTATTAAAGTTGATAACATTTAAGAAATTTGCAAATAATTTGGAGTTTGCATTTTTAGGTATGAGCTCTTTTTCATTTTACTTGAGTATTTTGTTATTACTGTTAGAATAAAAATAAGGGCTTAATGAAGCATGTACTTGGATTTAGAAGACCTAGATTGTAGTCCCCAACTCTGCCATTAACTCGATGTGTTATCTGGAGCAAGTTCTGGCCCATTTGGGGCATAGTTTCCTCATTTTTCAAATAAGGAGGTTCAGAGCAGCATATGGTCTACAACTCAGGCCTCATTCCTACTGCAGTGCTATTTTCCCCCAACTCTCTATTCACACTGGGAGGCTCACTGTCTCCACAACTCTCATCACAGGGGAGTAAAAAGTTGCAACTGACATCCTGTAATTTTACATCTTTTAAGATACATTAGTTCAACTTCACAACCCTAATAAATCTTGAGTCCTTCACAACTCTCATCACAGGGGAGTAAAAAGTTGCAACTGACATCCTGTAATTTTACATCTTTTAAGATACATTAGTTCAACTTTACAACCTTAATAAATCTTGAGTCCTTCTGCCTAATCTTATTGAGGCATCCTTAAAAATGTGGTCAAAGTGCCCTCCTCTAAAACTAATTCAGTCATAAATTCTCCTGCTTCACAGCCTGGATTGAGGTTTTGACTGAACCTTGATTCTCAGTCATTCTGCTAACCCTCTAAAAATACCCTTGAAACCTTATTTTATATATGCACCCAGCACCATGGTAGAGTAGAGAGAACTCTGGATTTGGAGAAAGGTGATGAGTTTGAATCTCAGCTGCTGATCACAAGCTGCATAATCTTGGGAAAATTCTGCCCTAGTTTCAACATTGTAAAATCTGGGGGTTGGTCTAAATGGTCTCTGCTGTCTCTTCTATAAAAATTCTGTGAATCCATTCCCAAGGGGCTTACATTTGGGCCACTAGACAGCTTCTTCCAGCTAAGTGGAAAAATACCAGACCAGGAGTTGGAGACCTGGGTTCTAGTACTCATTCTGCCACTAGATAGCTCTATGACTTGGCAACTCACTTCCTCTTTCTGTGTTGAAGTTGCTTCTTTTCAAAAACGAAATCATTACATCCTGTTAAACCCTAAGCTGGAACAGAACCCAACTGGAGAGAATATCTGTGCCTCAGACACTTAGGAAGAGAGCAAATTGATTTCAAAATATCACTTGCTTTTTTTTTTCTTTATACAATGCACAGAAAAAGAGGATTGTATCTAAAACCTTGAATCTGTTAATACTTTTTTAAAAAGGATATATTAAATTCATATGTTAGTTTCAAAGCTCTTCTGCCTGTGTTTCCTTCCAAAGTTCCTTTTCCCAAGCAAACCCAAATCCACAAGTTTGCATGTCCAAAACTGTATATTTTGTTTTACACCTTGAGTCTATCACCCCTGTCTCAGCATTAAAGCATCATTTGTAAAAACTGATTACTACAATACTGAATAAATGACTTTTTGCTCAATACTTCTTGAGTGACTGATTTTAACTGTGTAGGTGGGTATCTCCTCCAGTGATACAGATTACAACCTTTCCATGGCTGTCTCCTGTGTGATTTTTCCATGTGTTCCCACAAATCCTTCCAGGGGTACCATCCAATGTGTTTATGGCCTTTCTCTGATGGATATTGGTGGAGCACCTGGGCAGATCTCTTTTACTTTCATCATTAAGCTACATGTATTTTACTAAGCATCTGCTACGTGTCAGGTACTGTAAGAGGGAGACAAAAAGAAAAATGAAAGTCTGCCCTCAAGGAGCTTTTCTTCTGAGGGGGACAACATATATACATACAAAAGTACATGTAAAATAAATACTATGTAATCTGTTTTGGGGGTTGAGTGGGGGCAGTTTCTTGCAGATCTCAGTTGGGCTGAGTTTTGAATGAAAGTAGGGCTTCTTAGAGGTGGAGGTGAGGAAGTGCATTCCAAGTATGGAAGGTAGCCAGGGTAAAAAGGCTGGGAGATGAAGTAAAGTGTGAAGAACAGTAAAACATGTGAAGGAAAGTAATGTCTAAGTCTGGAATGGTAGCTTGGAATTTGGTTATAAAGAGCTTTAAATATCAGAGGGGTTTGTATTTCATCATGGGGAGCTACTGGAGTTTATTGAGCAAGGGAATGAAATGATTCAACTAATGATTCAAGAAAGAATATGCATTTACTAAGTACCTACTACTTAGTAGATGGGCACCATGTTTCATCACAAGTCCTCTGGATTTCTGGTTAGTCATTATGTTTATTAAAGTTCCTAAGTTTTATAGATATAGACAGGTAATGATATATTTTTATTTAATTGGCCAAGACTGCCTTCTCACCCACCTCTCCACTCCCTACCTTCCCACTGAGAACACGAGAAAGGGTCATGATTCATGGGGGGATCAACAGGAATTTATTAAGTTCCTACTATATGCAAGGTACCATATTAAGTGCTTGAGGATGCAAAGACAAAACTAAGAGTCCTTGCCCTCAAAGAACTTACATTCTCTCAGTCAGTAAATAAACATTTATTAAGCACCTACTATATGCCAGGCACTACGCTAAGCACTGGGGGGATACAAAAAGGCAAAAACCAGTCCCTGCCCTCAAAGTTATCTCGGTCCAATGGGGAGACAACAAACGTACCTATAAACATAAACTATCTACAGGAAAAATAGGAAATAATTAAAAGAGGGAAGGCACTGGAATTAGGTGTTGGGAAAATCTTCCTGCAGAACGTATGATTTCAGCTGGGATTTGAAAGAAGCCAGGAGATGGAGATGAGGAGGGAGAGCATTTTAGGCATGGGGGACAGCAAGAGAAAATTCTGGAGCCAAGAGCTGGAGTATCTTGTTCAGGAAAGAGCAAGGAAGCTAGAGTCACCAGATTGAAGAGTATACCAAGGGAGGTGTGGGTGATAGAAGACATAAGACTGAAAAGGGAGGGAGCAGAGTAAGAAGGGCTGTGAAGATCTGATGTTACACAGGAATCCTATCCCAATACCTCTTAACTATAGTGGTTAGGCTTCTAATGGGGCAGCTAGATGGTGAAGTGGATAAAGCACTGAACCTGGAGAGGGGAAAACTCTTCTTCCTTTGTTAAAATTTGACCTTTGTTTGTTTGGTTTTTTCAGCAGGCAAACTAGGCAATTTTTTGCCTCATTTCTTACCCAGCCTTAAATCACAGAATAGGTATTGCCTCTGACAAACTGAGACCTGGGAAAGGCCTTAGTTTAAAAAGGCCACTGTCTCCCACAGCATCTGGGGTCATCTCCAGTTGTCCTGACCTGTGTCTTACCACTGGACTTGGATGACCCTGGAGAAGAGGGTGAGGCTGATGACTTTGCACAGCTCTGCCTCACTTAAATCCAATTCACTTGCAAGCCAAGATATCATCCTGGTGATGTTACTGGTCCTCCTCAAGAACAAAGGACAACAGCTTTCTCTTTATACCTTTCCCCATTCTCTCACCTACACAGAAAAGCAGAAATTCTTGAGAATTTTTTTTAAAAAAGGGAAAACTGAACTCTACTGCTATTTGGTCAAGTAACTCACATGAATATATGAATGTATTCATACATACACGAGTACACACACACACACACACACACATTTCTGAAAGCAGAATCACATAGCAAGAAGCACCACTGTTACTTGCTCAAGGGGACAGTGCTTGGGGGCCATGGGTGGAGACATTTCCAGCAGAGCTTCTTGTGGACCATCTATCAGGGACTGTCAGCTCAACCCTAGAACAACCAGTAGGGAGCAGTGTGTTATCACTCTAGAAATCATTAGCTTTGTAACATCGGTATGAGTGGTCCTTCCACATAAGTACCCTGGCCACAAATGTTCCCAGATTCTCTATTTATGAAGGAGACCTCAAGCAGATACATCACTTCCTACATAGCTGCTTGTCTGGTCTTCACCATGTGTCCAGAAACTCATCTCCCTGCAAGATCAAATCAACTCCGAAGCTCACACCTCCTTAGTACCCTCTGCCCCTGGGGAGCTTCTGATTGGAGAGGGTGGAAGGTGGGCATCCTAAGCACTCCTCCCAGATTCTCTATTTAAGAATGTGGCTTTTAGGCAAACACTTCATCTTTCCCACCTGGCTGTAGGATTTCATCATGCCTCCAAAATGGGTACTCCTGTAACTCTCAGGCCCTACCTTTCAGCTTTTTTTTTTTTAATGTGTGAACTCCTTGGAGGCAGAGACTGCCTTTCATGTTTCTTTGTATCCCCAAAACTTTAGCACAGTGCCTGGTACATATTAAGTATTTAATGTTTATGGACTGACTTTAAGTATGCTCATTCACATGTGGTCTGGTCACATTTATACTTTAACATGTGTCCCCCTCTTCCCCATGTGTCCACCCTTTCCACTGATTATATATTTGTGGGAGAGTGTGCCCCAGTGTTAATGAAAGAAATGTTTTATTGCTAGTTTTCTTACTATGACATTTCATTTAAGGTCACTGTTCTGAGCTAACTGCATATTCTGGTTATTTAAGGTAAATGCATCAGTGGGGGCTCATTTTATGGGAGTATCTTGAACCTCTTCCTCAACACTGCACATGCAGTGTTAAGAGATCAATGTATGGATGAATGTGTATGGTATATTTATGTGAGGACATGAAGAATCACACTGAACAGACAAACATAATTCCTTCTGAGGAAACAGTAATCAATAGCATAGTAATATAACATTGCTTCTGGAAAATGTATGTCAATCAACTATGGAGCCATAGGGGAGTTGATTGACATACCTCTTCTAGAAGCAATGTTATGCTTCACTCCAGTTGTGATTTCTCAGACCAAAACATCTGGCCCTAGCCAACAATTCTCTATAAGTGTTATATATAAGTTCCTCAAAGGTGGGACCTCTTTTGTCTCTTCTTTTGTATTTATATACCCCACACTTAGCAAAGGACCTAACACATAGTGCTTAATAAATGTTTTTCATTCATTCATTCATTCATTCATTTTGAAGGTAAAGCTAAATAATTTAGTAATTTCCAATGCCTGGAATGGACTCCCTTCCTCACTATCACTTTCTCAGCCAAACTCCTGGAAAAGGTTCTCTACACTTTGCCTCCCTTCATTCATTCCTCAGTCCTTGGCAATCTGGATTCTGATCTCATCACTCAAGTGAAACTACTTTCTCTAAGATTACTGATGATCTTAATTGCCAAATCTTTTCTCAGGCCTCATCCTTCTTTCCCTACTGATGATATTGACCACCCTCTCCTCTTGGATACTCTCTTTTCTCTGGGTTTTTGAGACCTTATCCTCTCCTGGTCTTCCTTGTACCTGTCTGAACATGCATTCTCAGCCTCCTCTGCAGACACATTATACATTTCATAACAGCTGTGTTCTCTATGGGTTTGTCCTAGGTCCTCTTCTCTTCTCCCTCTGCATTCCTATTTGGTTACCTCATCAGCTTTATGTAGAAGACATACGTCAGAAGTTTTCTTACGGCAACATATGTATGTGTGTGCGTGTATGTATGGCATTTCAAACTGGATATCCTGGAGACATTATAAACTTAACATGTCTAAAACTGAATGCATTATCCTTCTCATCTAAACTTTCCTATTTCTTTCAAAGACACTGACCATCCCCGTAGTCTCCCCAGCTTTATAACCTTGACATTATCCTGGACTCTTCACTTTCCCTCATCCTGTATATACAATAACTTTGTCAAATCTTACTATTTCAACCTTCACAATCTAACATCTGACCATTTCCCTGCATTCACACAGTCAACACTTTTGTTCAGACCCTTATCACTTCTCATCTAGAGTATGAGTCTCCTAATCTGTCTTCTTGTCTCACGACTCTCACTGCTCCAGTCCTTTATACACAACTCTACCAAAGTAATTTTCTCTAAGTACCATGTGACTCCCCACTTCAATTAAATCCAGTAACTCCCTATTTCCTCCAGGATAAACTATAAACTTCTCTTTTTAGCTTTGAGAGCCCTATATAAACAGGCCCCAACCTACCTTTCTACACTGTGATCCAGCCACACTAGCCTTCTGTTCCTTACATGACACTCCATCTCTAGTCTATAGGCCTTTGCTCTGATCAGGGCCCATGGACTTCGTTGTATTCCTTTCTTTCTCTTCCTTTAAGATGCAGCTGAAGTACTAACTGCTTGTCTTTCCTTATCCCCCCAACTGCTATTGCTTGCTCTCCCAAACTACTTTGTATTTAACTAGTTTTGATTAAAATTTAACTTTTAAAAATAATTTTATTTATTCACTATATTCTTATACTATATATACGTGTATATATATATGTATATATATATATATATGTATATATATATATATATATATTTTATACATGTATTGTTGATTTCCTCAGTAGAATATACATTCCTTGTGAATAGGGAATGTTTCTTTGTACTTTCATTACCTGCATCTTTCTCCTACTTGATGGATCTTGTGTCAGTTTCAGCATTTTCCA